CATTGTTATTACAGGTGCCGAGGACCATGGTGGCTCACGTGGTAAGACACTAGGCATGTGCACCTTTGAAACACCTTTGACAAAATCATACATTGCAATGTCCTACCTGTCAATAAATACTTCAGCTTCAACCATCTCCAATACAAGAGCACACAATAGATACAAACTCATGGTTAACCACACCAAACTTGATTGCAAGAAATACGACTTCAGCAACAGAGTGGTCAATGTCTGGAATACTCTACTTCAGTGATCCCCAACCTTTTTTATGCCGCGGGCCGGTATCCCCAACCTTTTTTATGGCGCGGCCCGGTACCGGTATCAGCTGGGCACCGCCATCTTGTTTTGATGAAAAAGTGCTTCCGGTGAGGTTTCTACCCGGAAAAGCTCACCGGAAGCACTTTTTCATCAAAACAAGATGGCGGCGCCCAGCAAACCAGCGGCCCGGTAGGACTTGTTCCACGGACCGGTCCCGGTCCACGGACCGGTGGTTGGGGACCCCTGCTCTACTTGACTCTGTGGTTTCTTCCCCAAACCCCAAAAACTTTAACCTTAGACTGTCTACTATTGACCTCACCCCTTTCCTAAGTGGTCTGTAGGGGGCGTGCATAAGCACACCAACATGCCTACCGTCCCTGTCCTATTGTTTCTTTTTATTTTTCTCATATGTATCCATTTCATATATTCATAACCAGGGGTAGGATTCTACCAGTTTGGACCAGTTCTATAGAACCGGTTGTTATGATTCTGGACAGTTCGGAGAACCGGCAAATCGCACCACTGGGCTGAGCAGAGCTGAACTTTCCTTAGGACTGAAGCTTCTATTTTTCAGTGCAGACTCAGGTAGCAGATGGCAGAAAGATAGATCTCTAAGTGAATCTGTGATTCTGTGAGCAACTCAATCTGCCTGCCTGCTTTGCCTCATTTGGGGTAAAAGTTGCTCTTTTTTAAATAAAAAATTCAATATTTACATACAAACCATGCCCACCCAGTCACATGCCCACCAAGCCACACCCACAAATTAGGGCATGCCCACAGAATCGGTTGTCAAGAAATTTGAATCCCACCCAAGTTCATAACTATGTTTACACTTGTACCTATTATCTTGTAAGCGATTGACAAATCAAATAAATAAATAAAATAAAATAAAAGTTGGCAGCTTAGTGGCTCAATTCCCGTGAGTGAATAAGCCGCATAGGGACAAGAAAGGAGCCTCCCCTGATTGCCTTCCAACATTCAAAAGTCCTGCAGGTAAAAATAACACTGCCTGAAAAAATTCCTTTCACAGAGCCACCTTGGTGACCCCTGGTTAGCATGTGTCATACGCTAAGTAAATAAATAAATTACATGTGCCTTATGAGTGTATTTATATACATATACATTAGAAGCTCTGATCACGAATGCTTCTGACCATGATCAAATCAGGTTCCAACCAAAAAATTCACATTTTTTTTTCTGCAGCCAGTTTCCCATTCTGTGCCATTCTTTTTGTAAGAGCCAAATTTCCAAAATTAGGTTTGGGTTACGACCAAATTGGATTTCAACCAAAGTTATGGAACGAAGTATGGTTGTGACCAGAGATTCTACTGTACATATACGTACAATACACCTACACATACACACATACATACATGTGTGTGTGTGTTTGTATGTGTGTGTGTGTGTGTACACACACACACACACACACACACACACACACACACAAATAGCACCACATAATGGAGTGAGCTCCCATTACTTGTCCCAGCCAACCTAGCAGTTTGAAAGCATGTAAAAATGCAAGTAGAAAAATAGGGAGGTAGCAGTGTTCCGTGCACCTTTAGTCATACCAGCACATGACCACATTTAGTCATACCAGCGCATGACCACAGAGACGTCTTCAGACAGTGCTGGCTCTTTGGCTTTGTAATGGAGATGAGCACCACCCCTTAGAAACGGAAACAACAAGCATGTATGTGTGAGGGGAACCTTTACTTTCTATAAATATAGATATTCATATAGCTCTGAATACAGATCATTTGTTAATTGCAGTTATTTTGGTTTTTTAAAAAAAGCCTGGTTCACTATATTTGTGAGGAATTAATTCACTGGAAAAAACTAAGGTTCACAAGCCGGTGTGTGTCTTAAGGAACTGAAGGAACCCAACTATACCCCAGGCCTATATTGTGTCACACTTTACAGTAAATACATTGTTTCTAGAGGTGCTTATCTTGTAGGAAAATAAGAATGGCAAGAAATAGATATATAGCAACACCAGAATTATTTAAAGGCAAATATCTATCTTTTTCATTTACACAACATCTATATTACACTACTTGAACTGCTACAATGTCTCCCCGAAATATCTCAGAATTTGTAGAAAGCTATGGTGCTGATGATTTTTATCCTTATTTTAAGAGAAATATCTGTATCAGGAACAATTATACACTAAATGACAATTATGATAGTATTCTAAATAATACCTCCAGCTCTTGTTAACACTGCTGTTTTCTGTAGTCATTACATATTTAGTGCAGTGAACATGCAGTGCTTGAAGAGAGAAAAATAAAAATAAATGCAATTTGCATTATCATGATCCTAACTTATATGGAAGTCTAATAATGTACACTTTATTGTGTGCATTTAGGTTTCCAAATTTGCTAAATGCCTCCAGGAGGGCATTGTCACCTGAGTGACATTAAGAGTCAACATGTAATCTGCATTTTTGCTATACTGTAATTACTTTTAATTTTTTCAACTATTGCATTTTATTTTAAGGAACTTTTCATCCATCATAGTTAAAAAGTATAGATAAATAAAGCTTATATGGCTATTGTAGGAGATGACCAGGCTGAGTTCAAAGATAGGGTCAAATCAGAGGTAGTATTCAGTAAGTTCTGACCAGTTCTGGAGAACAGGTAGTGGAAATTTTGAGTAGTTTGGAGAACTGGCAAATACCACCTCTGACTGGCCCTGCCCACATCTATTATCTGCCTCCCGAGTCCCAGCTGATTGGCTGGGTCTTTTTTTGTTGCCTTCACAGGAGAACAGAGTTGGGGTGGGAAAAGAATGGGGATTTTGCATTAACCTTCTCCCAGGAGTGGAGTGGGAATGGAGATTTTATAGTATCCTTCCCTTGGAGTGGGGTGGGAATGGAAATTTTACAGTATCCTTCTCCTGAAATGCCCACCAAGCCATGCTCACCAAGCCATGCCCACAGAACCAGTAGTAAAAATTTTTGAATCTCACCATGGGGTCAAATGCATCTTCAGTTTGCAGTCATTTACTCCCACAAGAGACCTAAATCCAGATCCCCTATGAATTCCATCGACTCTTATCTAGCACCAATTTCCCTTGACCGTTAAGCAAACCAGATTTTGTGTATAGGTAGCATGTAATAAACTTTTGGTGCTTTGAACTGAACTCCAGTTCCTGGTTGGTTGTGCCTAATATTTATATTGCATTAAATGTCCTTAATTTCCTCCTCTTTGTTTCCCATTGTTTTCTATTATGTAGTGGTGGGATTTCTATATTGGCGAGAAAGAGATTTGTATTGCTATGGCTCTTTCCATAGATTAATAAAATTCTATATTTTCATATAATATTTGGAAAAAGAAATATATTTGACTGTTTAGCAGACTCAATCAATTGACTTGTCTAGCCCTTAATATGAATCACTTGGGTAGGTAGGTATGTCCCTTCCATCTTTGGCTAGAGCCACCTGGGATAAACTCCTTGTTCTTTGCCTGGCCTTGTCTTAGGGTAGATAAGCAAAGCCTATTAAGGTTAAGATATGATGAACTTCTTGCTCTTTGCAAGAGCAAGCAGATATATAGAGGTCAGAGGTAGTATTCAGCAGGTTCTGACCACTTCTGGAGAACTGGTAGCAGAAACGTTGAGTAGTTTGGAGAACTAGCAAATAGCACCTCTAATTGGCCCAGCCCCCATCTATTCTTTGTCTCCCAAGTCCCAGCTGATTAGCTGCGTCTTCTTTTGTTGCCCTGCACAGGAGAACGGAGCTGGAAAGCAGGTTGGTGGGATGGGGAGGGAATGGGATTTTGCAGTAACCTTCCCCCAGGAATGGGGAGGGAATGGAGATTTTACAGTATCTTTCCTCTGCCATACCCACCAAGCCATGCCCAGGCCATGCCCACCAAGCCACACCCACAGAACTGGTAGTAAATTTTTTGAATCCTACCGGTGTGCATATTTTTTGAATCCTACAGGTGTGCATATTGTACATGATCAGGATGAGTCAGCAACTCTGGTAGAATAAACCTCAATGCAGCCCTAACCTGGGAAGTGCTATATGTTGCTGGCTTAGGAAAAAGATCTGCTTGTTAACATGTTCAGATTTCCTGAGCAAAAAGTTTATTTGATATTATAAGAGTTGCAAAGGCACAGTGATTAGAATGTAGTACTGCAGGCTACTTCTGCTGATCACTGGCTGCCAGCAGTTGGGATCTCACCTGCTCAAGGTTGACTCAGCCTTCCATCCTTCTGAGGTTGGTAAAATGAGGGCCCAGATTATTGGGGGGCAATATGCTGACTCTATCTGACTCTATGCTTAGAGAGGGCTGTAAAGCACTGTGAAGCAGTATATAAATCTAAGTGCTATTTCTATTTCTATACTGTCTATAAACTGTATTGTGCAGTTTTCCTTGCTTCTCATGGCTAGAGATTTTTGGAGTTCAATGTCTATAACAAATCTAAATAATAACAATAACAATAACAACTTATAACCTACATATTTAAAAGTACTTGTAGCCCAAACAGCACATGCTATCATATATCTGGCTCTCCATTTTTAATGATCATTACTTGTCTGCTTTTGTTTTATTTTATTTTTTTAAGAGATGGAAAACATTGGATACCATCCTGTAAATTTCAATCTTTGGGATAATGTAAAAGAGATAATCCTATCTGAACATTGGCTTTGGTTTGCAATTAGTTTTATATATAAAGAAGATAAGACAGATATACATGTTCATTTTTCCAAATTGTCCATGTGCTTCTTTTAGGTTGCTTGAAATACTGAAATGGATGCCACAGAATTTCGGAAAAGAGGAAAAGAGATGGTGGATTACATTGCAGATTACATCGAGAAGATAGAGGAGCGACAGGTCTATCCTGATGTAGAGCCAGGTTATTTAAGAGCCCTTATTCCAGAGTTTCCTCCTGAAACACCTGAGAGATTTGAAGACATCCTTAAAGATGTTGAAAGGATAATTATGCCTGGGGTAAAATTAATTAAGCAGTTTTTTTTAAATATAATAATTCCATCTTCAATTGAACAGTGTGTTGTCTGGGTACAAATATGTTAAACAATAATCAAAATTGCAACATCATTCATTACATTAATATTAATTCTACGATATTTAAAATAGTAATATTCCGCATATTAATTCTACAATATTAAAATAATAATATTCAACATACTAGTCATAATATTTACTTATCCCTTTAACATATCTTCTTTATTTTGTTTCTAATTTCCATTTTTATTATTTAACCATTGATAAAATAAATCCCAAACCATATAGTATTCAGTTTCCTTTTTCTCCTTAATTGCTAACATTAACATATTCATTTCTGCACATTCTAATATTTTCCTAATCACATTCTCACCTGTAAGTATCTCTTTACTCTTCCAATTTTGTACAAATATGATTCTAGCAGCAGTTAATATATGAATAATTAAATATGTATTTTCCTTACTGTATTTTTCAGATAGAATCCCCAATAGAAATATTTCTGGTTTTAAATCAATATGCTGTATGAATTTTTGTATGTATGTATGTATTTTTGTCCAGTATTTTTTTGCTTTTGGGCAAGTCCACCACATATGATAATATGACCGGGTATTTGGTGATACTTCCAGCATTTAGCCGATTTGTCTTTAAACATCCTTGCAAACCACACTGGTGTAAAATGCCATCTATAAAACATCTTATACAAGTTTTCGTTATATGCAGTTGACATTGTTAATTTATAGTTCCTGTCCCCAATTTTTGCCATTTATCTAATTCAATTGTATAATCAATTTTTTTGCCCATGCTATCATTGTTTCCTTTACTTGTTTATCCTCCAATTTAATGTATAGTAAGTAACTATATTTTTAAATCAATTTTTCTTCTGCCCCTGTTAATATCTTGTCTAATTCTGTTGGTTCCTTATAAAAACCATATAGTTTTGCATTTTTCTGGTATCTGCACTTGTGAATACTGTGTCATATCAATCCCTTGATCACTCAATTCTTGTTTATTTTTGAGTTCCTCCTTCTCATTCAAAATATCTTTATATCTAACAATATTTTCTATATTAGAAATATTTGGATGAACAAGTGCTTCCATTGTCGAAAGCCAAACTGGTATCCTCAAATAGGCTGTTCTCTGACTTTCTCCCATACTAGCAATAATGCATTCCTAATATAATGCCTTTGAAAGTAACTATGTATTTTATTTTTTCTATACCACATGAAGGCGTGCCAGCCCAATTGCAAATTATGTCCCTCCAAAGTCAATAACCTTTTGTTCCTCAATACAACCCATTCTTTCACCCAAGTGAGTACTGCGGTCTGGTAATATAATTCCCAATTTGGTAACCGAAAGCCTCCTCTATTTCTCAAATCTTATAATATTTTTAGACTTATTCTTGTTTTTTTCCCTTGCCAAATAAATCTTAATATTACTTTATTGAGTTCCTCAAAGTATTTTTTTCCAGTTTTATTGGAATTGTTTGAAAGAGATATAATAATCTTGGCAATATATTCATTTTTATAGTAGCTATCCTACCTATCAGTGATAATTGCAGGTTTTTCCATTTCTCTAGATCTATTTTAATTTGTTGCATCAATTTATAGTAATTATCTTCCTTAATAGTTACACATCTTGCAGTTAAATTAATCCCTAAGTATTTTACTTTCTTTGTAATCTGAATACCTATTTTCTTCATTAACTTTTTTTTCCTGCATTTCTATGAGATTTTTAACTATCTTAGTTTTCTCTTTATTTATTTTAAATCCTGCCATTTCACCATATTCCTCTTTTTTTAAAATTAATTTAGGCCCTGTTTTTTGTGGCTCTTCCAAAATAAAAACTAAATCATCCGCAAATGGCTGTAATTGATACTTTTCTTTTTTATTTCCATACATTTTATCTCTATATTTTGTCTAATATTTAATACTTCCAATGTCAATATGAATAATATGGGGGACAAGGAACATCCTTGTCTTGTACCTATTTTAATAACAACCTTCTCTGTCATATCTTCATTTACCATCACTTTTACTGTTCGCTTATAATATATTACCTTAATCATATTAATAAATCTCTCCCCAAAATCTGTATCTTTCAACTGTCCTAACATAATTTGCCAATTCAAATTATCAGATACTTTCTGTGCGTCTAGGAAGATCAATGCCATTTTCTTCCCTGGATGTGCTTCGTAGTACTCCAACGTATTTACAATTATTCTCATATTATCTTTAATTTGTCTCTTAGGTAGGAATCCATTTTGGTCTGATTTACAAATTGATTAAAAAACCTTTTAAGTCTTTCTGCAATTATTGAGGTGTATATTTTGTAATCCGCCTAACGATAATTTTTTATCCATGTAAGTCTGAATCCTCTTTTGGTATGAGTGTAATATATGCCCATGAGTTTGGTACTTTTGCATCTAACAGTACTTCATTGAACACTTCCAGCATTGGTATACTTAATGTCAGCTTTCCAACTAATAAACTTCAAACCAATAAACTCCAAGGCAAGCATTTTCTCAAAGTTCCATTTTATTAGAATTGTCATATTGGCACATCTGGGAAAAGCTGAATCTGAGAATTCCAGGTTTTCCCTTCCCAATATAAATTCAAAGATTCATCCCCTGCACCTAACAGTCCATCACATGGTCCAATCAAACATTGTCCCAACTAGAGACCTTCCTCCAAATATTCCTCTCCAGGTAAAGCATAACATATCCTTGACTTTCTAAGAAAGAATGTTGTTGAGCCTAATCTTCCATCTCTCTATGAAATCCCACCTCCCAAATTCCCAGGCACTAAATGTGGCAGCCCTGAAGGTTCTAAGTGAAATATGGCTTCCAAGGCTGACACTTAGGATATTTTGCAAAGTTCCTCTGGTAGACTATCTGGGCCCAGTGTTTTTCCATTTCTTTGTCTCTTAATTGCTTCTATTAGTTCCATCATTATGATATGTTCATCTAACATGGCTTTTATTATTTCAGGTATTTTAGGTAATTCTGCTTTTTAAAAATATTGTTTTATTTTGTCTTCTGATATTGTCTCCTGGTCATATAGTTTTCCATAATAATTTTGAATTACTTTCTTTTTGTCCTCATTTTGATGATAAAGATTTCCTTCCTCATCCATTAATTAATGTATCAGTTTTTTTTTCTTTCTCTTTTTTCAATTTTTGCCATTTTCCTGGTTTGTTTGCATTTTCAAATAAATTTTGTTTAGCATTTTTAATTTTTTGAGCTAATTCTTCTTTATCTGTTATATTTAACTTGTGTTTTATTAATTCCATTTCACTTTTTAGATTAGTTTCTAGACTCTTATATACTTCTTCTAATATCTTTTGGTTTTGTTTCTTCTTCTTGTTTTTCTTTCCCATATAAGTTATAACTAAACTTCTAACATATGCTTTGGCTGTATCCCATACATTTTGTAGTGAGGTCTCTTCTTTTCTATTTTCTTTGAAGAAAAAGATCTAATTCTTTTTCCATGAATTGAATAAATTCCTTATCTTTTAATATTTATTGATTCAACATCCATCTTAGTTTCTTTGTTTATCCTTTCCATATAACTTTTATATTTATATATATAATTGGGTTATGGTCTGCCCAATTACTTGTTTCTGTATTCAGTTCTTGTACATTAGATTTCAGTTCAGCTGACATCAATATCATATCTATTCTTGACCAAGACATTTGCCTATTTGAATAAAACGAGTATTGATTTTCCTTAGGATATGTCTCTTGCCATACATCTTGGAAACTTATTCTTCAACCATTTTAAAAAAAAGCCTTTGGAAGTGTTTTCCTCACTTTTGTGCTCACTTTCCTGGTTTTATAGTCTAGTTCCTCATCTACAATTGCATTGAAATCTCCCACTAGACAAATATTTTCGTGCTCCAATTCTACTATTTTCTTATGAAGTTTACTACGTATAAAAGTCCTCATTTATTATTTGGTGCATAAATTTCTACCAGGAGTATCTGTTTCCAATTCTTTGTTATCTCCACCATCAAAATCCTCCCTTCTTCATCCATAAATATTTGCTTAGCATTTATTGTTTCTTTTATATAAAGAACTACTACTTTCTTCTTATGTTGTGATAAGAAGATATATAGTTTCCAATTTTGGGGTATTCCAATAATTTATTGTGTTGGTTTTTTTTACTGTAATATGAATCTCTTGTAAACAACTTAAAGTCCAACTTTAAGTTTTCTAATTTACTATAAAACCTTTTCCTTTTTATATCCGAATTCAGTCTAGTTATATTAATTGACAACAATTTTATTTCTTCTTCCATAATTTTACTTATAAATAGTTTTTGTTATTCCAGTCACTCTTATCTCTCTCTGTTCCTTTGCCCTTGCCCATTCTCTCTTTGCTATTTCCTCTGATTCTCTTTTATCTCTCCTCCCCCCCATATATCTCTCTCTCCTGTAGCTTCCTCTTGTTGTCTATTCTCTTTCCCCCCACTTATTACCATTCCCTCTTGTGGTCCAAAACAGTGATTGTAAAATTATTCTGCTTTTTCTATGGAGTCTAATCTATGTCTTTGCTCCATCAAGTCACCAATATTCCCTCCGGTATCAGCCATCTGAAGTTTACTCCATTCTGAATAAGCTGTTTAGTAAAACAAAAAACTGATATTCCCTTCTTATCTCTCTTACTCTTCTAGGAATCTGTTTTATAACTACTATTTTTTTCTCTTTATATTTTATGGGTTCATCCCTTGCTCTTTGTAATATCTGTTTTTATTGCTTTTTTGGTGAATCTCACATGTACCTATCTGGGAAGTCTATTTCTTGTCACATATCTAGTATGAACTCTAAATATTTCATCCATTTTGGCAAACACCTTTTCTTTGGCTATCTCTAAAGCATTTGCTAGCAGCTCTGCTATTATCCCTGCCAAATTTTCTCCCTTTTCTTCTTCAGTGTTCTGAAAATGTAAGTAATAATTGGTCCTCTCTATCTCTAATAATATTATTGTTCTCTCTTGATTTTTATCTGCCAATATAAGATTGTGATCGACCTCTTCCACTCTTTTCTTTGTTCAGCTTTCTCTTCCATTTTCTGGATGAGTTGTTCATTTTTAGCCATTGTTTGTTGAAAGTCTTCTGTTTTGTCCTATACTTTCCCTATCCTTTCCTTGAGGTCTTCATGCATAACTCGAAGGAGAACTTTCATCTCTGTCTGCATTGTGTTCATCTTTACTTGCTGCAACATCACATCCAACAATCTTTGACTTGCTGAACTAGATGTTGCTGCTGCTGAGGATGGCACAGAAGTAGTTCTTCATTTTGTGGTGCATTAATTGTAATTGTGGTTTAGTTGTAATCCCAGAGACATGTGATTATAAGCCACAAAGACAAGGTGATGAAACTATTATTTATTATCCAAGGGGAAGATGAAAGTGAAAGTAAAATTGTAATTCAAGAGTTATTAAATTGGGCAATATCAACACTTTTGTTTTACATGCTTGTTAAAGCAAGGCCTTGTGTAACACATGACCTTTTGATGCTTTCATAATCAAAAGGCTTTCATTTTGATAAATCTTTGTTTGTATTCTTTTTCACAGGTGACTCATTGGCACAGTCCTTACTTCTTTGCCTATTTTCCTACTGCCAACTCTTTCCCAGCTCTTTTGGGTGATATGTTATCTGGGGGCATAGGGTGCATTGGATTTTCATGGGTAAGTTACATGTAGGCATGAAAGAACTAATTCCTAGCAGGTACAATTACTACATGTGCCTTTATATTTCAAAAGTATTAGATATTATGGATTTTTGAAGATATTTTCTTCACCCAGAAGCCACATAGCAGCTACATGGCTTTCAACAGTTTAGTTTTCACTGAAATTATTAGATTATGAGAAAGCTCTACAACTTCAATACAGCACTTCAATTTATGAACACAACTGAGCCCAACATTTATACTGCTAAGTAAAATATTTGTTAGCTGAGTTTTGCTCCATTTTATGACTTTTCTTCCCCATTTGTCACTGTAATTCTTAAATTAGTAGTACAGTTGATAAATGAATCTAGTTTCTCCAATGACTTTGCTTGTCAGAAGGTTGCAAAAAATGATCACATGATCCTGGGACACTGCAACCTTTATAAATGTGAGTCAGTTATCAAACATACAAATGTAAGTCATGTGACCATGGGGATGCAGCAATCATCATAAGTGTGAAAAATGGTCATAAGTCACTTTTTTCAGTGCCATTGTAACTCTGAACAATCACTAAATGAACTGTTGCAAATTGATGATTACCTGTATAAAGATAGGGTTTAACATAAAGATATAAAGATTACCAGTAGAGAAGTTGTGGCATACTCAGAAGCAGGGGTGGGATTCTACCAGTTCGCACCTATTCGCTAGAACCAGTTGTTAACATTCTAAGCAGTTCAGAGAACTGGTTGTTAGAAGAAATTACTGGACTAATCCTATAAGGAAGGCAGGAAGGAAACATTCTGGTCTTGCTTATAGAAACTGCCTCTCCGCTAACCCTTATTACATTCTTGGCAGGACTAGACTTCCTGACTCAGGAACTTCTCTGGAGTTTTCCCCCCTCCTTTGCTGGTACTTTGCTTGTGTGAAGTGAACATTCAAAGTTACAATGGCACTGAAAAAAGTGACTTGTGACCATTTTTCATAGTTATGCCTGTTGCAGCATCCCCACAGTCATGAGAGGCCAGGCGAGGAGATTTGTGCCTTGATGTGAGTGATATTGAGTTGGCCACACCCAGCCAATAATATGACCACCAAGCTATGTCCACCCAGTCACATGACCACCAAGCCACGCCCACCACCTAAGCCACAGCCACAGAACCAGTTGTTAAAAAATTTGAATCCTACCCCTGCTCAGAAGGACATATTTCCCTCTCTCCACCCACCCGCCCTTTCTCTCTGTGTGTGTGTTTGTGTGAACATATACATAGGTACTAAGGCGTGATTTCAAATTTTGGCCCGCTTTTATCTACAGTTTAAAATTTTATGAGGAGAATGAGTTAATATACCTGTTATACATAGTAGTTACTCAAATGGATCATTAATTATCTCTTTTTTCACTCACAAATTATGCAACATTCTGAATTACACTTGCAGCTCCCATGCTATATTGCTTTTCTATTCTGTGCACTCTTCTGAAATGTGTAAATATCTAAAGAAACCACTAGAGACTTTTCTTTCCTTTTTACCATGTTTTCCCATTCTAGGCATCAAGCCCAGCTTGCACCGAATTGGAAACAGTCATGCTGGATTGGCTAGGAAAGATGATCAATTTGCCTCCACAATTTCTGGCTGAGAAGGATGGAGAAGGAGGAGGGGTAATCCAGGTAATTTAGAATATTTGCTACTGAATTTGATCTGTATTGTATCTAAAGTGGATAAAATACTACGGTATATTGTATACATTGTCATATTATTTCTTTTTGAAGATAATAGTGTCATTTTTTTTTCTATTTCTAATTCAATTACCCGAATATTTCAGAATTCTGTCCAAAACAAAATGATTACACAAAGTGAAGAAAAAAAAAGATCTAAAGATATTTGGGGTAAATCCAAATTTTGCAGTGATGGAGAAAAAATTATCCAGAAAAAATATATTAAAGGGAATGCCAGAAGTCCAGTGGCTATTTGGGAGGAAATGAAATCCAAGTCAGATAGAAAATGGAATAAAGTATGTAGAAAAGGAAAATAAAAGACATATCTGGGAGCACAAATAGGAATATTTTAAGGATAAGTCTACATCAACATTATTTCAGATATCAACTTTATTTCATATAGTTCTCTGGATTGCAGGTATACCTGAGTGTGTGTAAATTAGGAATGGGGAAACAATGGCTGAGCCATGGTTTTTAAGTTCCCTCATCAGTTGTTATTCTGGCTTGATTGACAAGAGGTGTAATTTGTCAACATATGGAGGGCCTTAAGTTCTATACTACTAACTCAGTGTTAAATGCACTTCGGTTTATTGAAATCAGTGGGATAAAATTCTGTGTTAGATTATGACTTAAATTCTTAAATCCTTCTAAATTTAGCAATTCAGTTCAACAGTCTGCTAACTTATCATGAAGGAAGTAGATTGGTATCCACTGTTTAAAATGAATTTGTGGAAGTTTGCATTATGATTTTTTCTTCTTCTGTTTAATCCTGTCTGGTTATTGGAGTTTGCCTGGAGGAGTTGCAATCTTGGCAATATTTTTCAAAAATGGTTTGTCATTGCTTCCTTCCTAGTGCCCAATAGAAAAATAGCAACCTCACACTGGAGCCTCTTATAGATTCCTACATTGTGAATCTGATAAATAAGTGTGTGCTTCTTTATATTTTTTTCATGCCAACTGAAGTTTTAGAATGTTGTATTTTAAAAAAGTTATAAATGAGCCTTACCAGACCTTGAATCTTCTACCCAAATATTCACGAATATTTCCTTTAGCTTTACATTATAGTGCCATGTATTCATACGTTATATTTATAAAATCTTGCAAAAGTGTGTTTTGTGCTGATGACATGGGACATTTATATCTGTTTATTAACTCATTTTTAGTGACAACACATGATTGCCAGTGATTGTGGATGCTGTTTTCATTGATTATCTTTAGGACAGAAGGAAAATTGTTTAAGGCCTCTCCTGCTATTACCAGGAAGGAAGCAATTTGTGCAGATGGTTTTCTTTTTGCACAGTGATAATAACAGTGATAGAAACAGGAAAGGACATGTGAAACATAGGTTTTATATTAAAACTGCCAATCTTTCCTATATTTAAAACCAAATGATTATTTGCAGTATCTGCTTATGAAAATTGGTGCTTAATTACAGCTGAAAGGACAAATCAATATGAAATCATTGTATGCTACTTCAAATGCGCCTCTTGAAACAATTAAAGATGAAAGAAAATGTCTTATTCGGCAATATATATATGTCGGCTCTTGAGTCTGTTCACCATAGTAACCTCTGTTTGTACAGAAAAATGAAATCAACTGTGCTGTTAGCATTTATGTCATTTTAAAAAGCAGTTTCTCATCAGAGCCTTCAACTGATTTATTTTTGTTCTGTCATTTTATTAGGGGTACATCCATCCATATTTAGAATGCAAACCCTGTTAATTTTAGTTAGAATGATTTAGAAAGGTGAAATCAGATGGATTCTGCCATTAATTTAAACAAGATTACTCTAAAATATTGCTTCTGCCTCTTTGCTGTTGTTTTTTTCTGGACTGTCTAGGAGCACTTTCACATAAATGCATTTACAGCCTGTTGAAATCTAAAGCAAGCATGGATGACGCAATGTATTGTATACATTTGTGTAAGAAAGAAGGAATTCTTACCCTGATTAGACCAGCAAGATTGTCTGGCATTGTGTCATTCTCAGTACCATCAATTGTATTGTATAAGCAATATCAATGCAGTGGATGCTCCTTATTAATTTAGGACAATTGTTACTGGATTCTCTTGTCCAACATGTCCAATTTTCCATCACAGGGAACTGCCAGTGAAGCTACCTTGGTTGCCATGCTGGCAGCTCGAACCAAAGCGATTCGTCGTATTCAGTTAGACAATGAAAATTTGACTCAAGGAGAAATCATTAGTCGACTGGTAGCTTATACTTCTGATCAAGTGAGTACATTATTCCCTGCATTACTGTAGGTATGGAAATAAAATTATATGTAGTACTCATGCAGCATAGATTAATATTTCATAAAGATGTTATGTCTTTTATTTTCAGGTTGATTTTTGATCCTTCTCAATAATGCAGATAGCTGACAGACTAGCAATAAATGTTGACAAGCAATAAATTTTGATAAAAATACATTTTGATAAATACACATTTTGATAAAAAAAAAAAAAAGAAGCAGCAGCACCACAAACTGAATCATGTCCTGAATCAATACTGGAGAACTGTGGCATGTACAGTTGACCCTTGGTGAGCTTTGGAGGCAAAAAGCAGCAAGAAACAAACATCTTTCTGCTTTGAAAACACTTATTTGGTCTGATTTGGATTCTGGAGCTGTTTCTGTCTTTTCCATCCCACAAATACTAATTTTCTTTAATGCCACAGACTATCTGTGTCATACCATCTATGACATTTTTATAAGATGACTAACTTGCTTAAATAATCCTCCTGCTCCTGCTCTTCCTCCTCCTGAACTTGAACTTGAGAGTATAGATATATATTTTGCATTTAACTGTAATTTTGGATTTGACATAATAAATTGACATTGCAGAAGTAGTATTCATGCAATTATTTTTCTTCGTGACAGTTCTAACACCTGGTGAGTACAACAATAAATCCACACTAGATCTAATTCTTAGCCAAATATAGCTTTCTTCCACCCGAGACACTGCAATTATCAGAATACCTCAGCTATCAGGTCTCAGTTAAGCAATCTTATTTATCTTCTGACATTTTATTGGGACTGATTCATCTATATAGGTGCTAGGACTTGTGAACTCCAATAAGAATAGTTTCAGTAAGTGAAATCAATGTAAATGATGTAAACTAAAGTTCACTTTAGTTGAATTGTGTCTTCAATTCTTTAAAAGATTTATGGACTGAAATGGCATCAATTCCTCTGGGGATGACCACTGAGACCTGAATTAAGGAAATGTCTTGGGCATTATCAACCATGATATGCTGAGTAGCTTGCAATTGTGGACAGAGAAAGCACCATTTTACTTTCTGTTACTTCCTGATAGGGAACTTTCAATAACTAGTTATGGGTAGCAATCAAACTTATGTCCAGAATTACATGGGGTACTTTAAAGTTCACTTTTCTGCCCCATATTATTTACTATGTTCATAAAAGATTATGTTTGAGTTCATGGGAAAGTAGCATATGTTTATGTTAACCATCTGTGCATACAATAAAGATGCGTTGAATATCTTCACTCGGGGTCTCAGAGCTGTTAAAGAGTTGATGGGATGGAACAAGTTCAGACTGAATCTCAGCAGGACAAACGTACCCACTCATTCAGAAATTATTTGGTTCATTGCTTGCTCTAATATGTGCTCTAGACAAGGTCACCTTCTCTTTGAGGAACAGATTCACTTATGATCTGGGGCTTCATTTGCTTATTCAACATATGGATTCAGTGACTATGGCAATCTTTCCCCATCTTTGGCTAATGCAGCCACAATGAATAGACAGCGCTGACCATGATTATTCTGCTTAATTCTAGATTGGATTATCATGATGTGCTGTACTTGGATGTGCCTTTGAAGATAATCTAATTCAGCATGACTATTGATGGGGAAAACTACGACTGCCCTCAATGATACCTGTGCTTTGAATGCTGGATTGGCTTGCCCTCAGAAGCTGTGGGTGCTCCATCATTGGAGGGTTTTAAAAAGAGACTGGACAGCCATTTGTCTGAAATGGTGTAGGATCTCCTGTTTGAGCAGGGAGTTGGGCTAGAAGGCCCCTTCCAACTCTATTATTATACTAAAATGCAAACAGATTATGTAAAATAAAATCTGAAATTTCAGAGGGAGAAAACATTTTGCGCACGCTTATTAAAATCCAGTAGTCACTAATAATAAAATATCAGTTGGAAGGGACCTTGGTGGTCTTCTAGTCCAACTGCCTGCTTGAGCAAGAGGCCCTCTATCATATGCCCATATTCAGGATATGTTGAAGATTCAACTTCAGATGAAAAGCATTTGAGTCTAGCTAATACTGTGGTATAGCTGGCACAATAATGGGATTTCAAATCTATAGAGTTGCTCTTTATCGAGAATACATGGCTGACCATATTTTAAATGAAGAAGGAATGCTTTACCCTCCTGCCTCTTGGAAGTTCGAGGAGAAAGCATGAGAAAGGCCTTTTCTAGGGCTGCCCTGTTCTAAAGAACAATGTGCCAGACAAGATTTTGGATTGCTTTTTTTCTACTTTGCTTATGGGAGTGGAACCATTTTCATCATTTTTCTTACTCTTTTCTTCCCTCTTTCCAGAGTGCCAACATCTTTTTTATATTGTGATGAGCAAAACTGGAGGCAGTATTCTATGTGTGGTCTTACCAAGGCCTTATAAACAGAGGTGGTATTCAACCGGTTCGCACCTATTCGGATGAACCGGTAGTGGTTATTTGGCGTGGGTCACCGAACCGGTGGCAATCCCTGGCTGGCCAGGCACCCAACCCAGTCGCCCGGTCAGTCACTTGCCCCAATTGCTCTCTTAGCTTTCTGTTCCCCATGTCCTCTTTCTCCCTGGGGGAGGGGAAGGAAGAAAGGCATGGATACTGCAAGTATTGCTTTCCCTGTGTGAGTTAAAGTGCCTGGAGTGAGAAGGAGTGTGATCTGACAGAGGGGGTGAATCGAGCCTTGGAGCACTTTTGCAACATAAAAGAAATGCATTTTGAAGCAGGTCCTTTAAAAACTTCTCCAAGGATTCCCCATGGACACTGCAAGTATCGCTTTCCCCTTGTGAGTTAAAGTGCCTGGAGTGAGAATGAGTGCGGTCTGACAGAGGGGCTGGGGGAATCCACTCCAGCCTTGGAGAAGGAGCTGCTTCAAAATGCATGTCTATTAAGCTACAAAAGTGCTCCGTGTGTGTGTGTGTGTGTGTGTGTGTGTGTGTGTGTGTGTGTGTAGGAGAGAGAGAGAGAGAGAAAGAAAGAGAAAGAGGAAGGGAGAGAAAGAAAGAAATAGGAAGAGAGAGAGAGATAAAACTCTGTGCTATTATTTTTAATTGTTCCATTATTTATCATGTGTTAATATTTTACACTGTCCCTACACCTAGAGTGATTTTTCTGCCTTTCTTTTGCCCAGGGCTACCACATATTTTTCAGGGTTTACATGCATTCAATGTCAATAGCCCAGAGCATAAAATACATGTGTGTTTAACAAGAATTGAAAGGGACTTTGGAGGTCTTCTAGTCCAACCCCCAGCTCAGGCAAGAAAACTGAGGATGCCAAACTCTGAGTAGAGATCCTGGGAAAGGGGTCAGAATAACAGAATAACACTTAGAAGGGACCTTGGGGTGAACCCTATACCATTTCAGAGAAATGGCTGACCAGTCTTTTCTTAAAAACTTCCAGTGATTGAGCACCCAGAACTTCTGGAGACAGGCAGTTCCACTGGTTAATTGTTCTGTCAGGAAGTTTCTCCTTAGTTTTAGGTTGCTTCTCTCTGTTCAGTTTCCATCGATTGCTTCTTGTTTGCATTCTGCTTCTTTGGAAAATACATTGTCCCCCTTTCTTTGTGGCAGCCCCTTAAAAGCCTGTTGCCTATCATACTCTTGAGTAAAGCATGTGATCCATTTCCTCCTTTCAGTGGTCCATGAAAGTACATCTATAGTATGCAGATAATAAAGTCAAAAAAGGTGTACAACATTTTTACAGAACTATAGATAAGTTGAGGCTGGGTGACAAGGAATGGCTGGGAGAAGAGGGGCCAGGTGAGACACCCCTTGGTGTAAGTGACATTGAGTTGGCCACGCCCACCGAGTCACATGACCACCAAGCACACTCACACAGTCACATGACCACCAAGCCATGCCCACCCAGTCACATGACCACCAAGCCACGCCCACAGAAGCGGTAGTAAAAAAAAATTGAATCCCACCACTGCTTATAAAGCAGTAATTACATTTACATGATCTTAATTCTATCCTTCTGTTAATGCAGCCTAGGATTTGATTGGCATTTTGGGTTGCTGCCAAAGACTCTTGGCTCATATTTCAGTGTTTATCCACTTGGACCCCAAGATCCCTTTCGCAGATTTTGCTGCAGAGCAGAATCTAATCTGTACATGTTCATGTGTTTTTCTTGCCTAAGTACAAAACTTTACTTTTCTTTACATTGAATTTCATTTTGTTAGATAGGGCCCAGGGTTCAAGTTAAATTAATTTTATTTTATTACAGTCCCTAAATTCAAATGAAGGTCACTTACAAAGTACTGAACATTAAAGATGAAGACATCTCAGAAATATTACAAAAATTATAGCCAAAAATTGAGTGAAATATCTTTATTTATATATTGCTGAAACTTTCACGTTGCTCTGTTTGCAACCTTCAGGTAGGTGAAATGGTGCACGATAGGACAATTTTTGCATCAACTTACCTCAAATGAGTTAATTTTAAAAATGCCCCCAAAATCGTGGGCATTTAATCCTGTAGTGTGAGCGACATGCTGCAAGGGTCAGGGAGGATGTGTGGGGATGAATGAATAATAGGTAAGTAAATATTTCTGAAAGTCATTATAATAAATAAAATAATTACTCTTTCTAATGTATATATTTTTGCATGAAAATCTCAACTATGAACTGATAGCTTAAAAAAAAAAAGCTCTAATGCTCAAAGTTACAAAAAAAGGTGTATTTATGCAAGCTTTTTTCTTATTTTTTTAGCATCCTTGAACTTTCCAAATATATAAAAAAAATAGTTTGCATTGTGTTTGCATTGTGAATTCAGTTTAATTAAAATTGTAATTTCTGAACATAAAAGAGAACTGCATCATAGTTATGCACTTACAGCTTTCTTCAAAAAAAACTAATGGGGAAAATCACCTGCAAAAGTGCATCTATTAGGAAAATATTTACTACGCAACTTGAATGTCAGGGTTTTGTTTTTTTTGTCTGCACAAGGATTTGCTGTAAGATGTCTTTGACCTTTTAAAGTAGTCTGTGAAGCAAGAATCAAACAAAGGGCAGGGTGGGAGGGTGAGTGAGAAGGTAACCTAAGGAGAAAAATGAGGTCTGACAAGGAAGCAGCTTCCTGGAACAAATGTCAAATAATTCAAGCATATATTTCATCCTCTTTCACTCCAAAGTTTTTTTTAGGACAACAACAACAATAATTTATTTTTTGGTAGGGTCGTTAAGAAATATAAATATCTAAGTTCACATACTTGTTTTTGAACTAATTGTATACATTATATTTCATTTACTTTAATGTTTTTATATATAGTGCTTTACTCTTGCATTTGGAATGCATTTTTTGGATCAAGATCATGCTACTATAATCCAGAGAAGATTTTAGTACTGAGGTTTATCCATCGGATTCTACTTTCCAATTCTTATTTTACAATAATGCCATGAGGAATTGAATTTTAAAACTATATTTTAAGTTAACCCTGAATTTCTTAACATTTTGTTTCCTTCTCATTAAGTGACATGTCTTCACATGAATTATGTTTAACTGAAGTAGTATATTTCTGTTCTAAAAAGAAATATACCTAGAAAAGAACATAGATTCAGTATTGTGTAGCAATAGATGAGTATTCTTGAAAAGATAACACATTACATTATTTGAAGAAATTATACTCAATAATTAAGAGTAACACTTTTTTTCTCATATAGAAACATTCTTACAAATTCTGATATTTGAAACATAGAGTATGATTTACTAGAACTTGTAGTTCATCAATTGTACTGTGCTTTATATTATTCAATTATTTATTGAATGGTATAATAGAGTAAATTTTATTTTATGTTACAATTGGTAAAGATTTGCATAAGTAACATTATAATCACCAAATAACAAAAGTATAGGACTGGGCATATTTGTTGCTGTTTATTACTTTGCATTTACATCAGCAAGATTTGATTATATTGTCTAGTAATTGTAAAATATTTTTGAGTACATAATTGATATGCAATTTAAATTTTAGAATAAACTATATTTTACTTCATGCAGGCTCATTCATCAGTTGAAAAGGATGTCTTGATTGCTGGAGTGAAAATTAAACAAATTACCACAGATGATTCATTTTCTGTCCGTGGATCAACTCTAAGAAAAGTTATAGATGAAGATAAAGCTGCCGGTCTTATCCCATTCTTTGTGAGTACTAATATCCCAATTTTTGTTATTACCTTTGGAGCAAGCATACAAAAAAGATTACCAGTTGTTAATTAATCTGCTGGTCTATGTTTTAAATTATAGTTACTATGTTCAGCCATAATATCTATAATAAACACTTTTTGGTAATTTCATGGACATGGATATTTTTGGCAATATGAAGTTAGTTTACTACTGCCTTCTTTTAGGATATTTTTCAACCTCCCAGTCTGCCCAAAACTTCTATATTTTTCAGATTTCTCATCCATTTAAGTGTGAAGCTATTTGCAATAATTGCTGGAGATAATTATTCCCAAAGGAAAAAGAAGGTAGCTAGTTCAAAACTGGCAGTCCAATATGTATTTATTTTTTTGTTAGTTGAGTTGATCTTTTAATGACAACTGATACAAAATGTGATGGGATGGCCAGTGATCAGAGATGGTATTCAGCAGGTTCTGACCAGTTCTGGAGAGTCGGTAGTGGAAATTTTGAGTAGTTCAGAGAACCGGCAAATACCTCTTCTGACTGGAGATTTTGCAGTATCCTTCCCCTGCCATGCCCACCAAGCCACACCCACAGAACCAGTAGTAAAAAAAATTGAATCCCACCACTGCCATATTTGAGTGAACATACTGCTTTGGAAGCTACATTGGTTACTTCCAGATACAATTCAAGGTGCTTGTTGCCTAATAGGGCTCCAGATCTAGTTAGTTTTGAGACTACTTTCTCCTATATTAATATATCTATCTCCCTCTAAATCCTGTCTAACTGAGGATGACAGCAGGAGCTAAGAAATGGTTGTTTCCCCAATGCTTCCATCTTGCTTTAGAACTTAGTCTAATCTATGGATATTTCCCTTTTGATGTCTTCCCTCCTGAATTTCAAAAGAGTACTGAAGACTTGACTTTTTCCGTCTAGCTTAAGCATTTCTTCTTAAGGAGAAAGAAACATGGTCTGGCAGTCTTCTAACTAGTAGTTTAGAAATAGGTAAACTGATAGTTGGTATTTTGACATCTTCATTATAACATATCAAATAAATTAAAGCTGGAACCCTATTTAGAATTATTTACAACATGCCTTGTTAACCACAGTGTCATCTTGTTAATCTACCATATATTCTGAGAAACAATTTTAATAGAACTTGCTTCTTCGGATAGGGTTAAAGGCTGCCCTAGGAAAGTGATTATGATTGCAAGGCTTCTAGACAGAGGTACCTTCAAGGTATGGTCAGAAAGCCAAGTTGGCTGCCATTTGATCATCAAACATAAAAATGATTGGAACTTTGATTTCACTGGCCACTATATTGACTTTTTTAAAACCTTGTCTGAAAATACCCTTGGCAAGCTTTCCCAAACTGCTAATATTTCTTAATGTTTTAATGGCTCGAAATTATTTTTCAAAGCACTGAACTAACCTTATTAACTCATTACTGGGTTTTGGGAGCCATAAAAGGGTTCAAGGGTGGCTATTGAATGTGATTACATGTCCCTGCCTTGGTGTATGAGCTTCCTAGCATTTTAAATATAAATAAATAATTGAACATTTTTATGATCTGTTTTCTTGCTTTCCTGCAATTGCCTGTTCACTTAATGGCCACAAAAATACGTGTCTGATAGGGCTTTGTTATATTAATCATCCTCATCTTTCCATTCTTTTTTCTTTATAGCAATTTAAGATGTTTCTCTGTGGTTTTTAGAGTTGTGATACTACAATGTTTCTTCTGAATATATCTGATCCTGTTCTTAGCTAAATACTAAACTTGCCTGATTGATTATGGTCATAGTGTTATACAAGTGACTGCTTTGTTTGCAAAATAAGAGCAACAGTGCTGTATTTAAAGATGGAAAGTCTGGAGTGGCCTGTAAGCTGTCTGAACAATTTTCAAGGGAGACAATATGTCCCTGCTCCAAATGTGATTATACTGTTGTAATGGAGATTTCAAATTGGGTTAAATGCAGTATTAGATCTCCTTCACAAACACACCAGCTGCTGTTACCATCTTTTGAGAATTGAAATAAGGAGATTTCAGATTGCTTATGAGAGGCATTCATAACAATGATACAGCAGAGTTATATCACAGGATGACATCTCCTTCTATAATAGCAAAACGCCTGAATGGATTACCGGGATTTATAAATCTCTGCGTGTAAATGATACTAGGACACAGAGAATGAGATGCTATATCTTTAATCTAACCATCAGTTCTACAATGAGTATTTGCTATGGCTTTTATTATCCAGAGATACATATCCTGGTAACAACTAATATGCTTAGTCATTATGCTGCCATGCAGAGATGGCAAAATATTCACAGTCTTAATTATGAAGCTTCTTATCTGTAAAGTTACTATGGGAGGAGAAAAGCAATAACTGAGGGCCATTGAAGTTAGTTAGTAAGCTGCTATTTATAGCTTTTATTACTTACATTGAATAAAAAATGCTATGAGAATAAGTCGTGATAAGTGAACCCTTTTTCTTTAACTGGGTTGACTTTGTAGCTTTATTTTAATAATTGGATCAGTTGTACATGCCTGAGGCAACCTAGGAAAATACATTTGAACTTGGGTCCTTTACAGAAACTGTAAAACTGTTTTCAACATTTCCAGAAGCCAAAATTAATGAAGCTGTTGAGCATTCTGCATTCTGTGCACTGTGCTTTTGGCTGGTGTGCATTCTGCATTCTGTGCATTGTGCTTTTATGATAAATATTTATCATAAAATTTTAAGTCCCACAGTCATTCCAAACTACTGCTTTTGGTAACTTTGCATCAAAAGGAGAGAACCATCCCAGAACTAAGGATAAATTTCCTGTCAGTGAGAACAATTAACCAGTGGAACAGCTTGCCTCAGGAAATTGTGGGTGCTCCATAACTGGAAATTTTTAAGAAAAGACTTTATAGCCATTTGTGCTAAAAAAATTGATACAGGGTCTCTTGTTTGAGCAGGGTGTTAGATTAGAAGACCTTCCAATTCTGTTATTCTGGTATGTTATTATTTACAAAGAGACTTCCTGAAGGACCTCATGTGTATGCAGATCTCCTTTACCATGAAAAAAATGGTAGAAAAAATATTATATAAAACTAAAAATACAAGTTGATATCAAGAAATAAAAGTACAAAGTTAAATTTATTATCTATAATCAAACTTACCATGTACTAGTCATCTAAAAATAAAGGTCTCTCCTATCCAGTCGTGTCTGACTCTCGTGGGTGATGCTCATCCTCTTTTCTTAGCCAAGGGAGCCAGCATTATCCAAATACATTTTTGTGGTCATGTGGCCAGCAGGACTATAGGCCAAAGGACAGAATACTGTAACCTTCTCACCAACATGGTACATATTTATCTACAACAAGGATCTTCAAACTTGGCAAGTTTAAGACTTGTGGACTTCAACTCCCAGAATTCCTGAGTTAATATGCTTGGAGGAGAAATTCTGGGAGTTAAAGTCCACAAGTCTTAAATCTGTCAAGTTTGAAGACCCCTGATCTACAAGCTTTTGCATGCTTTTGAACTTTTAGGTGGGCAGAAGGTACTATATTTAAACATTTTTGAAATTGTTTTGTGTCTTTGATAAAGTATGCCTGCATAATCATAGAACACTCTAAAAATGACTGCATGAAATTAGATTACCTACTTTGTGCCAATTGTGAATATACTGAAAGTTATGTTTGTGGGTTGTGTATTATCATCACGTTAAATGCTATTTTTAAAATGTCTATTTTTGGTTTTTTTGGATTTGCAGTTATGTGCAACTCTTGGAACAACAACATGCTGCTCCTTTGACAATCTGCTAGAACTGGGTCCTATTTGTAAGTTGACAAGTGATTGTTTTATCTGAACACTGAAAATCTGCTTTTAGTGTGTCTGTCATTTTGCATTAAGCCATTTAGTGGATTTTGAGTAAGAGACCTACTCAGCAGAAAAACCTGCACAATTTCATTAGACAAATACTTTTTGGTATCATTTCTAAAGTTAGTTGAATTTTTTAGCTAGGAAAAATGTAATTTACCCATTTATACACCACCTAATCTCAAATCAATTTCAATATTTTAGTACTTACATATAAACATTAAAAAGGAAAACAATATAAAATTAAAACATGAATACTGGTGATGCTCGACTTATGATCACAACTGAGCCTAAATTTTCTGTTGCTAAGCAAGACAGTTGTTAAGTGAATTTTGCCCCGTTTTATGTTCTTTCTTGACATAATTGTTAACTGAACCACTGCAGTTATTAAGTTAGTAACATAGCTGTTAAATAATCTGGTTTCCCCGTTGACTTTGCTTGTCAGAAAGCTGCAAAAGATGATCATGTGACTCTGGGACACTGTAATTATCTATAAATATGAGCCATTTTGCCAAGTATCCAAATTTTAATCACATGATCCTGGGAATGCAACAAAGGATCTTAAGCATGAAAAATGATCATAGGTTACTTTTTCAGTGCCGTTATAACTTTGAACAGTCACTAAATGAATAGTTGTAAGTTGAGAATAACAACAAAACACAAAATGCCTACTTTCTTCTTATTGGTTAAGGTTGTGATTATCTCCTGCCTGAGAAGGTTTTGGTTTAACTGTGCTTTAGAACTAAGTCTTCTAGAGTTGGATTCTTATCACTCTTCTTATACCATTTCTGCTCTTCCGGTTGCTCACTGTTTAGCACCAAGCTTCTATTTTTAAGATAGAAAATAAATTATTTCTCTTTCCTTCCCTCCCTCTTATAATGTGACATTGGGTCAATATAGGGGGACCCAAAAGGACCCTCAAAGGATAGGGCAAACTAATAAACATTACAATGGCTTTTTAGATAGTATTTATTTCATTTAACATATTTAAACAGAGGCAGGCATATATTGTGGAGTAATGTTCCACTCTGACCATTATCCAGAGTCCGAATCTTGGAATCCAAATGATGTTTCTTGCAACTGAAAAACAGAGATATATCTGTCTTTGGATTTAACTTCAAAGCTTTGATTTGATTCCAGAAAGTTGGTTCAATTTCTATGAGGAACCAAATATAGCATAGCACCTAGTATGTAAATGTGCATTTTGATATATGTTAAAACACACGCACATAGCAAAATCTATGGGATCCAAGTTAATAATGACTGATCAGAAAATGAATCTTGAAATCATACTTGAATGAAAGTGTTCATAGGGTGCACATATGTATTATAAATTGATAATTTTAAACAAAATTTCTAAATCACCTAATCTTTAAAATTATAAAACACCTCAAAATCCTGTATCACAGCACAGTACAATTAAATCTACAATTAATAGGATTATATTTCCTGAAAAATATTTTATCTGGAAATTAAAAGCTGGGAAACTTCCATAGGGATGGAGAATGGGTCCAGATAATCCATCTTTTTAAAAAACTTCAGACATTATACGGAACTGTTATTATTTGGCACTTTCCCAAAAAGGGACATTATTGAGTGGTCAATAGTTGTTAAGAATTAACAGTATAGAGTACATTTCAGGACAATTGACAAAACTTTCTTGATTTATTTATACTGCCTTTCTTAGACAGTTGTTTTTATAATTCATGGATATAATTCAGATTAAGTTGATTATAATTAACTTTCTTGAAATTAATGAGAAACAAATTAAATAAATGATATCTGATTGCCTCATGGAATTCAAAGGTTCACTTTATGGGTATTAGAGTTCTCCCTACTTTGTACCTATCCTTGTACCTATGCAGATGTTTCACTGGCAGAAAATTTACTTTTCCCCCTGTTCATCCTGATCATGCTCCTATAACCTTCAATCAGGCTTGCCACTGGGTGGTGGTGTCCTAATTTTGGATCTGATTTTGGATTTATATTCAGCAAGACCATGGATTAAACCCTCCCTCTTTGATTGTCACCATCCACCAGGGCACCATTTGCCAAATGCATTAAGAAATGGCTATTTCTGTGCCTCTGTTTTATTTGGGGCAACTGTTAACTGACCATTTCCTACACCTTTGCAATACTTTAATTAGGTAAAAATGTATTGCATCTAAGATATTTTTTTTCCTAGGTAATGAGGAGAATATTTGGATGCATATCGATGCAGCCTATGCTGGGAGTGCTTTCATCTGCCCTGAATTTCGTTACCTTCTCAATGGAGTAGAGGCAAGTCAGAGTCCTATGATTCAGAAAGTAATACAATGGGACTATTTAGCTGATGCTTTTACAGTCATGTAAGACATTGTTTGATATTAATATCAGTGTTCCTAACATACCACCAGTGATTCTTAGCAACCTGACTCACAAATGAAGTTAATTGTTCACAGAAAAACAACAGATTACTTTGACTTCCACGTACCAGAATGCTAGGAAAATAAATCCTACAGTACATGGTATAGGTGCTATACTGTCTCTTTGAAGCAGATAGAATAATGACAGAGAAGTGCTCTATCTAGGCTACTAATATATCATTCATCTATAACCAAGATTTAATATGATTTATCCCTAGTTCTTTTCCCATAAGCTCCAGCTATTGTCTTACCAATTAATTGCCTTTAGATTTCTGTTGAATCAGCAAACTGTTTGGGCTCTTGGGGCAAGAAAGAGGGTCAACTATACAGGTTATGCACTAATCAGAATTTTGAATTTAAGTCACTTTCAAATAAACAGCCTTAGTATAAATAGGTAATTTCCTAGAACAAGACCACTGGAATGGTCTCCACCAGTCCTTGTATTACTTTGGCTATTTTAAGAAGGGAATTAACAAGTACTAGGGTAGATGATATATCAATTGTCATCTTACACTGACCCAATCACTCAACCATAACAATATATATTCAATTCTAACAGACACTTGAATGGGCTATGTAATAAATGAGGTTGGATTTCTATAGCCCTGAATTCCAGATCCAATCTGCATTCCTTACTGCAGGGTAACATTTGTGAAGCATCCCTCCCCTCTTTTCTCTAACCTTTTTATAAGTGGCTTTTAAATCTAAAATAAAATCCTGGCTAAACCAATGGAGACTGTTACTGTATTAAGATTATTCAGGGTGTTCTTATCAATGGAGAGGAGTGCAATCTCTCACTTCTGAAATGGGGGGGGGGGGAGGCTTTTTTGTTCCAGCAGAGTGATCCTTTGTTTGTGTGTATGTGCATGTGTGTATGTGTGTTTAAGAGCACGGCTATGTGTATGTCTATATATCTGCCATCCTCCATATGCATTATTTTGGTTCATATATTTACATCAGCATAGCCTCTACCAATTACCTAGAATTGTAGCAGTTACAAGAATAATGGTTTTCAAATTTGGCAGGAATGGTATTTCTATTGGTTCTGCTCAAAGACCAGTTAACTGCACTCTATATCTTTTAGTGTTGAAACAAAGAGATTCAGGCTTCATGAGTATCTCTCACACCTGTTTCTTGATCAGGATATACAAGATCTGATAAAAGTGATACAGTGGTACTTTGGTACTCATGATTAATTGGTTCTGGGAGGTGCGATGAGTACCAAAAGTGATGAGTACCAAGCAAATTTTTGCCATAAGGAATAATGTAATGAATCACAAGGCAATTGAGACAGACAAGTTCCAGCTTCTGCGTTGAGTACCAAACTTAGTACTGGCACACATTTTTGTGCAAAATGTGTTGAGCACAAAATATGATTAATTTCAAAGCAGTTGAGTACCAAGGTACCACTGTATCTGGAGAATGAAAATGTGGTCTTCTTGTAAAAAAAAAAAAGACATACAACTGAAGTATGACTGATGGAGAACAGATAATGAGGGAAATGTGCTCCTTTTCCCTTGATTATTTTTTTGCTAGGACACTTCAACAATAAAGTATTTAACAATTGTTAGAGATTAGCATGCCTATTCCTCTCCAGTGTCCAGGCATTGGTTTCCTGGCAGTGGGAAAATCTTATCCTTTCACACTGTGCTCTCTCCCATACAGGCTAGATATGGCTAAGAGACCTCAGAACAACTGCTGGCTTGTGGAGCCAGGAGGAAGGAGGGTCAGGGGAATCTGTCTCAGTATTACATGTAAACCTTAATATGCATTATTAATATTTAGGTGCCAGGGAACCGGTAGGTTGTTGGGAGATTTATAAAGAAATGCTGAGAAATATGTTTCTCCAGGGGTTTATAATAAAATCCCTCAACTGATCTCTCAGCTAAAACAGGGAGCCAAGATTTAAAGTACTAGATCTTTGTTTGAAAGGAAGCCTGAAAAAGAGACACATGGGAGACAGCTTGCATATGGCGGAGAGAGAAAGAATGATCACACTGTACCCACACTGTACCTTCCTTGCTGTCAGCTAGGCTACTTTAAACATGGATTCAGTGCTTTTTTCAAAGAGCCCTACATCCATATTTTTAAACAGTGAAAATGATTCCCTGTCAGAAGAATGGTAAATATATGTTTAAAAGTAGCTCCTCGTATAGTATACTTTGGGGTTGACATGGTGAAATAGAATTTCTCCTGTTTTTACATGTTTTTCTAGAGCATCTGTTGGTTATTTCTTGGGCTGGTTAACAAGGACTACTCTCCAATTCTTTTGGGATGCTGCTCAATTCTGGCAAATTACTCTGGTAGGAGTAATTAATAAGAGGGCCTGGGGGGCGGGTGGACCTGCTCTTTGCCCATTACCCATCTTTCCACAAAACTCTCCTGCCAGATTGGAGAAGGGCCTCTCCTTCATTGTCTTGGTACTAGGCTGTCTCCGAATGCATGGGCATAGCTTTCTATTAAAACTTGCTGTTTCCCCTATCTCATGTTAGGGAAGAGATTGGTGATTGATATCCTTACTGGTGAGTAACCTTTCCCTTTCCCTACCTATTCCTCATCCTCTCCAGCTCCAGGGGGCAGCAGAAGAGTTGTTTGAAAAGTTATGTGTGTGCCTGACTGAAAGATTATCTAATGAGAGCTATGCTACATTGAAATGCCCTTTTTAGCTAATAGATAAAAGAATCCTTTGTGAGTAGCAGTACAGAACCCTTAAATGTTTCTGTCTTTTTTGCCAGCACTGTTGGACTAGCCCTGATCCTAAAGGAACCATAAATAATCAAGCACACCTTTGGGCCTTTTGCTTGAATAAAGTAAAATAGAAATGAAACCAACCAATAAAGTTCCTTTGATGTTCCATCTATTCAAAAGAAACTGCAAAAATGACTTCCAGTTTGGGTCTCTTCAGAGACAGATTGAAATCCGAGATCGTGCGTGGTTTCGATCTGTGCTTGCCACTGGAGCTCCCCGATCCTTTGGATTCGGGGCTGAAACCACCCCGTAGAGGTGGTGAAGAGGGGGGAGATTGCTAGCCGAGTGGGGAGGAGCCGCATCTCTCCTCCTTTGCTGGTCTAAACTCCCTTCCCCGAAGGCAGTTGGTGGCAGTGGTCAGAAATGGCCACCTCAAAGAAGAACCCGACTGGATAAGATTGTGCAGGAGGAAGACAAAGAGGAAAGCAGGACAGACCAGGCTAAACAACAGAGAACATCTAAGCAAGGTACCCTGAATCTAAAAGTACCTAGAGGGTTACTTCTAGGTACAATAAGATTTAAAGGTGTTGCACTTTGATTGGCAATCATAGGGGGAATTTTGCTTCTTAAGAATGTTGGAAGAAAACATATGAAATTGTAAACAAGACAGATGAAAGTATAAGTACAATGAATAAAAAGATATAGAAATTTAGCTAAAAGAAATACAATTGAATAAGAAGAAAATGAGATAACCATAAAAGAAAATTAAGATAAGTAAAGGAAGAAATAGTGAGAAGTTGGAAAAAGAGTAATAAGATATGAAGTTGAATACATAAGATGAATATGCATATGAAATTGTGTCTGTATGAAAATGTGGAACCATGTTTATTTGTTTTGTTAAAACTCAATAAAACTTTATTTTAAAAAAAGAAACAGCAAAAATGAAGCGATGAGCAAGGCTGGCTTTCCTTTTTGAATAGCCCTACAGCTGTAGATTGAACTGTCAATTTATTTAAAATAAATAATTCCATTTAATTATCACCTTTCCTACCTGCATTTATTTGAAAATCGAGGCAGAAAAGTTCTTGCTTTGTTTCTTCAGTTCACAACAGAGCAAGGATGGGAAGAATTTATTTAACAGTCTGTGTATAATATTTTTCTTTTATATTCTTTCCCCTTTTCAATGATGCCTAGCTACTTTCCCTGTGTTTCCTTAGATAAGGGCAATGCAATTTCCTGGGCCTCTCTTCAGCTGTCAGATAAATTCTATGTCAACAGAAGAAAAAACAATCTTTGGAGAAGGTCAGTGCCTACTGGCTATGGACTAATAAAAAAAAGGAGGGGAAAGCTACACTGTAAAGCATCTCCTCTTTTCATTTTATCAGCAAACAAAGCCCACTTTAATTTCCTGGGTAGGTTTTATTGGTTTTGGAAGGAAATGAATCATCACTTGCAGGGTAATATAGCATTTTTCAGGGTAGCAACCATTCAATAAGTGTGAATAAATTTCCTTCTTCTACTAATTTGCTCAATGTTTCCATCAGATAAGTTAAAGCATTTGTTCTACATAAAAGAGCAGTAACCTGATGGAAAAACTGTTAAGATGCAGAGAAAGTCTAGTATTCCCAAACTTTTCTTTTCAATAGGAGATGCTGGGTCATTTCATGAGGTCTTTTGCCACTTCATTGGGATGAAATGAGGATAGTGTTTAGAATATGACAATTCACATATCATTGGCAGGTGTTTAAATTTGGACAATAAAATTAAGTAATTTTGTCAAATTAATCCAAGAATAATAATCTTTATTAATTGTGTGGAAAAAAGCCAATTAGGTATAGCAATTAGGGTACCCAGCTAACCAGGAGATCTAATCCTTCTTTGGGTATATGGGTGATCTTGGGCTTGTCATTCTCTCTCAGCCCTAGGAAGCAGGCACTGGCAAACCATTTCTGAAAATATTGCTAAGAAAAATGCAGGGAATCATTCAGGCAGCTGGTATCAACACTGACACAAAGACACCCCCCAAAAGAAGAAAAGGAAATAAACTATGATACTCTTAGCATCCCTTTACAAGCAGTGCTTGTTCAACATATATGAGGGTGGGGTAGAGGGACCTTGGAGATCTAATCCAACCCCCCGCTCAAACATGAGATCCCATAACACTTCAGACAAGTGGCTGTCCATTCTCTTCTTAAAAGTCTCCAGTGATGGACATCCACCACTTCTGAAGGCAAGTTGTTCCATTGGTTGATTGTTCTCAACGTTAGGAAATTTTCTTTAGTTCTAGGGATGCTTCTCTTCTTGATTATTTTTTGACATTTGTTACCAGTCTTACTTCATTCTGAACTGTAGCTTTTCTGATTTCATCTTTACATATTCAAGCTACTTGTTGGTATACTATGTTAATTATGTGCCTTTCCTTTTTTTATATACTTATACTTTTTGTCTTTTGGTTTGTCACAGAGTTCTTTGGGTAACTATGCTGGTTTCTTCTGGATTTCTTATTTTTCGTGGTTTAAGCTGGACTGGGCTTTTATAAAATTATACGTTTATAATTTTCAGAGTTTCCCAACAATTCCCTTTTTGAATTGTTTTCCCTTTTAAAAATTTCATCCATGGAATCCTTCCCAAACTCTAAGTTTGTTAAAATCAGATCTTTTAAAGTCTAAGATATTGGTTTTTATTATGTTTTATTGTTTGTACTTGCATTATATTAAATTTCAATATGACATGGTCATCTCTCCCAAAATTATGGCAAACTCCCCTCCTCCCCAATCACTTCTTCTCTGTTAGTAACAATTAAATCCAGTATATCTGGTCCTCTAGAACTTTTCTCCACCTTTTGGATGACAAAAGTGTCAGCTAGGTTGGTCGAGAACCTGTTAAAACTCCCATTTGATGCAGCTTTTGTCTCCCAGTTGATGTCAGGGTAGTTAAAGTCCTCCATTGTTACTATGGTGTGTTTCAGCCATATTTTTGTTCACTCATTAGAAAAAAGTTTATCTATTGTATTGCTTCTGCTTGACTGGGTTGCTTGTAGTATAAATGTATGGCCACATCATTCTTTTTTTTCTTTTATATTGAACCATGTACATTCTAGGAGACTTTGATATTAGTTTTTCTGCATTTCTGTAGAGATATAGTGCTTTTTTGCATATAATGTAACTCTACCTCCTCTTTTGTTAGGTCTGGGGTTTGTTTGTTTTTTGGAATAGTTTGTATCCTTCCATCAGTACATTTAAGTCATGAGTTTCAGTAATGGTAACTATATCATACTTGCCCATATTTACTAATACTTGATGTTCACCTTATTTGTTCCCCAAACTTTGACCATTTTGACTCCTTTAAAGCTGACTTGGGTATGTTTCCTATATCTCCTCCTTTTTATCTGAGTTTTTCTTCCTTCCCATCACTCCTTATCCCATTGTTTGATTGGTTGTCTTGAGGTTTATGTTTGGGAATCCCAAGGATTGGTTACCTTCCTCCCTCAGTTTTAGTTTAAACCCCTTCTAATAAGTTGAGTCAGCCATTTTAGTTTATTTTATTGTCATTGCACCTCATACAACAAAATCAAACACCATCTTCAGTGCACATTGAAAATAAAACACAAACACACATCCTTCACCCTCCACACATTGAACCAAAATCTCCTGACACTGCATCAACACTGCACTATACAGTAGAATTCAAAAGAGCTACTACCCTGGAATAGAAACTGTTTTTCAGCCTATTTGTCCTTGTTTTTATTATTCTGTACTGTCTGCCAGATGGTAATAGTTAAAAAAAAAAAAAGGGTGGCCAGGATGAGATGGATCTTTGAGAATGTTTTGAACTTTCTTAAGGCAGCGTGAGCTATACAGCTCTTCCAAAGAAGGGAGAGGGCAACTAATGATCTTCTGAGCAATGATGTTAACCCTCTGGAGTGCTTTCCTATCTGCCACTGTGCAATTGGCAAACCATACAGAGGTGCAGTAAGTTAAGATACTCTCTATGGTGCAGCAGTAGAAAGTCACCAGCAGTTTTTCATTCAGTTGTTATTTTCTAAGAAGTCTCAGGTAGTATAATCTCTGCTGGGCCCTTTTGACCAGTGCTGCAATGTGAGCACCCCAGATCAGGTCTTCTTTTATGATAACACCCAGAAACTTAAAACTGGCCACTTGCTCTTCTTGATAAGCAAGGGCTGGATGTCTGTTCTGTTCTTTCTATAGTCCACTATAAGCTCCTTGGTCCTATTGGTTTTGAGGACCAAGTTATTGTCTCAATACATTTTCTCTGATTCTTAAGAGGTGCAGCCTATCCCTTGCCTAAAGTCCTTCATGTAGTTAATGCACGTACCCTTATGTAGGTAATGCAGACCATTATTACAGTCTTCATTATTTTTATGCGTAACTCAAGATGGTGAACATATTTACTAATCCTTCCTTCACCTATTTTCCCCACAACAGTGGGTGATTTGAGTTGGAAATTCAAAGAGGTCTTTAAACATACCAATATTTGTCACATTTTAAAGAATGACATTCTGGAAATTATTTCAGAACATCTTATAATAGTTGGTCTGCTTTCTTTTTTGTAGTATGCAGATTCATTCAACTTCAACCCTCATAAGTGGCTCCTAGTCAACTTTGATTGTTCTACTATGTGGTAAGAAGGAAATATAAGAATTATTAACAGTGTTATCACATGACATTTCTCTATAAAGGAATATGGCAGGAGGCAGACTAAACTGGAGTATCTGTGTACCATTACTCTAGTTTACTCTACTGATCCTACCAATTGATTGCTCCTTCTTAGTTCCTTAAGTTAAAAGTGACTCAACAAACTTTAAAATAATCTGAATATCATTCAATGTAGTCCAAGATCCCTTAGCTGCCTCTTCTTAAGAAGGAATTGCATGAATTCAAATTCTTTCTTCCTAGAAAAGCAAGCCAGATTATTATGATGGGGAAAAAAACCCACAGAAAGAATTTCCACAATTTGTTGATATCTTCCTTTGACATAAGGAATCAAGCAAACATGAGATGGCATGCATTCCATTCTGGCTCATTCATGATAAACAATGCCTTGTGCAGAAAGAATTACAATTTTTGGCAGAAATCCCCCACTCACTGTGTTAAACCAGATTTTATATGATCTTACTCTATCCCCAGAATGTACTAGAAATTTGAAAGGAAAACATGCAAAATTTATGTTACAGAGTATTTATTAGTGGCTAGGATGTAATGTCATATTTAGATTTGTTAAATTAAATATTTATCAGAGAAGGAGTTTGTACACTTACTTGACTTCAACACTGATTAATTCATTAATCTTTGTAGTCAATTCTTTTTATTTTATAGAATTGTAGACTTGGAAAGGATCCTAGAAATTACCTAATGCAACCCTAATTAATTAAAGAGAGATTAAACTTTAATTTCCAGTTAACACTTCTCCATTTATTAATCTGAATTGATTTAAATTTATATCTCTATTTCTAGCTTCCATAGAAATAGATAAACTTTTAAGTAAAGCAGTGACTGTCTATATTCAATATCTGTGCAGGGTGAAGAAGAGATCGGATTTAACATGTGCCTTTAAAATAGATCCTGTTTACTTGAAGCATGATCATGATGAATCTGGTAAACTGCCATTAAATAATAATAATTTATTTTTTCTTAATGCAAATAATCTTGTCCAGTTTCTGCATGATGAAGTTAAGTAAGAGAATAAGAGTTAACAAGATTCACAATATCTCCCTATTCTTTGTTTGATTTCTCTCACTTGAACATCATTTTTGAGAGAGGTACTGAATTGCACTGTCACTGAATTTTGAAGTTTGCACTCAATTTCCTTTTTGAATAATCAAAGGAATGGGCATATTGTGGAATGTAGCATATTATCAAGATATTTGAAAAGCATGCTAGACTATGGTGGAAACACAAAATGGTGTTTTAGGCTCAGCTTATCTGCAGTTATAATAAAAACAAGATTAAAATCTGAACAAAAAACTGAGCTAAAGAGCCATACAAATATTTGTTCAGATTTTTCTAATGTAGTTAGTAAAGGTTATTTTCTAAGCTTTGAACTTTCTGAAGGATGTTTATTCAGAAAAATAACAGAGTTGGAAGGGATTTTTGGAGTCTTCTAGTTCAACCCGGCTCAAGCAGGAAACTCTATACTATGTCAGACAAATCGCTGTTAAAAACTTCCAGTGATGCAGCTTCTGAAGTCAAGCCATTCCATTCCAAGGAGAACTTCCTGACACTGAGAACAATTAATCAATGGATTAATGGACCAATGGATTAATTGTTCCCACTGTCAGGAAGTTTCTCCTTAATTCTAGGTTGAATTTCTCTTTGATAAGTTTCCACCCATTGTCTCTTGTCCTGCTTTCAGGTGTTTTGGAGAATAAGCTAGCACCCTCTTCTTTGTGGCAGCCCCTCAAATATTGGAACACTGCTATTACGTTACCTCTAATCCTTCTTTTCATTAAATAAGACATACTCATATACTGAATTCCAATATGATATTTCCTAAATTTCCTGCAACTTCAGCCCCCTCTATCATTTCCTCTCTATTTGTAAGAATTAAATCCAGTACAGTTGACCTTCTGATTTCCTCCTCTACCTTTTGGACAACAAACTTATTTGTCAGGAATTTGTTTAATATCCCTAAGGTCTTTCATGCGCACCTTAGCTAACTGATTAGCAAAAAGTTCATCTATTTCCTCTACTTGGTTGAATAGCTTATAGCATATACCTGTGACAATGTCAATCCTTTTTCCTTTTATCTTAACTCAAGTGCATTCAAGATTTTTATCCTTTGTTGTTGTTGTTTTGCATTTCTAGAAGTGTAGTTATTTCTTAAATATAATGCAACTCACCCTCCTCTTTTGTTAGATGTTTCTTTTGAACAATTTAAATTCTTCTAACAGTAGGTTCTAGTCGTCGGTTGCATCCCACCAAATCTCAGTAATAACTACTGTCATGTACTAGGACTTCAAGTTTCCTCTGTTTGTTCCTCATACTTTTAGCATTAGTGTATAGGAATCCGAACCTTTTTGACTCACCTTGTGTATGCTTTCTACATTTTCTTCTTATATTTCTGTTTCTTTTCTTCCCCAGCACTCTTTATCTCATTCTTTACAATATCTTGAGGTTTACACTTGAGTCCTAAAAATTGGTTTTCCTTCTTTTCCAATTTTAATTTAAAGTGCTTCAAATAAGCCAAGCTAGTTATTTTCCAAGCACATTTTTCCTGATCCGTGTGAGGTGTACCTTATATTCTGCCAGAAGCCTTTATAGGTAATGCAGACCATGGTCTAGGGATCCAAAGTTCTCTCAGTGGCACCACCCATTAAGGCAGAGGTTTACTTCTAAAATTCTCCATTCCCTTATTGGATGTTGACCTTCCATTTGAAGAACAGATGAACATTTGTGCTCCTTACTCTTTGGATTTCATGCCTAGCTGCTCATAATAGATTGATATTGTTTTCAGGCTCTTTGTTGTATCTTTCATCCCCACATAAAAGACGAAGAAGGAATAATAATTGTGGGATTAATTATTTTAGTAAACCACTCATCACATCTTTAATCTTTGCTTCATTGTCCGATTTACAAGTTGCTGATTCCATTCCTCAGAGAAGTGAGTCTTCTATCAGCTACATGTGCCTATTTTTCTTGGGGAAGTCTGGTCTCTACTTTTCTTCTTATCATCAGTACACTTGATGATGTCCCTTCTCCAGATGTTTGCACCAGAGGTAGTATTCAGCAGGTTCTAACCAGTTCTGGAGAACCAGTAGCGGAAATTTTGAGTAGTTTTAGTTTACTTTATTGTCATTGCACCTCGTACAATGAAATCAAACACCATCTTCAGTGCACATCATGACCACGACCATAAAAATAAACACAAACACACATCCTTCACACTTCACACATTGAACCGGAAACCCCTGACACCACACCAACACTGCATTATACAGCAGATTTAAAAAGAGCTACTGCCCTGGGATAGAAACTGTTTTTCAGCCTATTTGTCCTTGTTTTTATTATTCTGTACTGTCTGCCAGATGGTAATAGTTCAAAAAAGGGGTGCCCAGGATGAGATGGATCTTTAAGAATGTTTTGAACTTTCTTAAGGCAGCGTGAGCTATACAGCTCTTCCAAAGAGGGGAGAGGGCAACCAATAATCTTCTGGGCAATGACATTAACCCTCTGGAGTGCTTTCCTATCTGCCACTGTGCAATTGGCAAACCATACAGAGGTGCAGTATGTTAAAATGCTCTCTATGGTGCAGTGGTAGAAAGTCACCAGCAGTTTTTCATTCAGTTAGAGTAGTTCAGAGAACCGGCAAATACCACCTCTGACTGGAGATTTTACAGTATCCTTCCTCTGCCACATCCACCAAGCCATGCCCATGGAACTAGTAGTAAATTTTTTTGAATCCCACCACTGGTCTGCACACTTTCTTCCAGGGAGAGGATAGGAAATCAATTGCTCAACTCCAGTGGGATTGGATTGGACTGGACTGAGCAGATCTTGTTTTCAGCTTTTCCATCCCCTACGTGTGATATGTTAACCATTGGTCTATCTCTAAAAGTTCATTTTTTTTCTGGTATGCATTTGTTCTTAACTGTGTTGAGTTTGGATACGATCTTCTTCCTTTAGTTTCTCACTTTGTTGTTTGAGTTTCAGATTTGCCTCTTATCTTTCACTTTTACTTTGACCATTAACATGCAGAATATAGTGAGTGTTTGAAAGGCAATCTGTTCATACTATGTAGTTTCACAATGGCCAAGCAATTAATTGTGTTCCAGAAGCAGAAAAAATACTCCTTATTTTATGTTAATTGATATTCTAACATTCAAGTTTTTATTTACTACCTAGTCATTACCATATGGCTTTTAGCATCGAAAAGATACTCTTTTATATCCTATATACAGCATGTGCAACTTTAATTAAGTTCATATGGACTAAAGAGAAATAAGACTGAAGTTTATAATTATAGTGACTAAGAGTAGACTACATTATGCTGATCAGCTTCTTTTCAAGAGGTTACTAGTGTATCATTAGCCACATGGTGTGTTACAAAACATGCAATTAGTTATCCATGAGCAATTGCCTCCAGCTTTGCTCTTGCCCGGCAACTATTAAATCAATACTTAGTGAGATATACTAGTAAGCTTTTCAGCTGCTTATCTGGTGTTGTGGTTCAATTCTTTCTGAAATCTACTTGGTTCATTGAGATGAAATATGTACTCTCAATTCTGTATATATGATGATATTCTGAGGAAATTGGTGTTTTATAAATACATTAATAGGAATATTAACCGCACACTATTTGAATCTTGATATTAATTTGTAAAAATGTATTCCAATCACACATTTGCTATATTAATGGGAACAAAAAGGCTGGAACATATGGTAAATAAATAGGACAGACAGAATTTCCCGCTAGCATACTCTTCCCTGCTGTAGCCCCCAAACTCAGTTTTATCCAAGGGTCTTCAAACTTGGCAAGTTTAAGACTTGTGAACTTCAACTCCCAGAATTCCTGAACTAACACGACTGGAGGAGGACTTCTGGGAGTTAAAGTCCATAAGTCTTAAAGCTGCAACGTTTGAAGACTCCTGGTTTAATAGGTCAATGCCTAGTATTATTAGGAACAATATTATCTTTCCTACATTGGACTGGAAAACTGTTTTTAGAAAGCTATTGGGAACTATAAGTAAAGTATAGTATTATTGGCAGCTTTTAAAAACACAAAAATATTTTGGATTGTTATGTACTAGAAATGATATAGATTCACTGGGAATAAATTTATTTTCGGAAATGTTATGTAGTTTGGCTTGTGTCAAATCAAAACTAGTAGAAGAAAATATATTTGAAAAGGTTGGATGAAATTGAGTGTACCATTTCCATCCCTCTGAAATTTTAGAATTTTATACTGACTTTATTTACTAACCACTAATTTGGCACTTAGAGTACTCGCTGGAAATCAGTTTGAGACAGCTTTAAAAAAGTGAAGAGAGTCATTCTCATAAATACATTAGTTCATTGGATTACTAGAAATTAATTCATTGGATTATATCTAGCTCTACAATATCCATCTACCATAGAATGGCATCCAATAACAGTTTTTTTTCCTGTCTTTCCCTCATATCCCCATATACAGTTTGAAGAGGTGAAAGTCAGACACAAGGGACTATGAAGAAAGAGGTGGTGGTGGGAAATTGTATAGGTGTAAAAACAAAGATCCATTCATCCTACATTTAGTGTAATCCATTGTATATATTTCTACCTTTACAATGCACCTTGAAAGGAATTAATTCCCAAGTGGCTGCTCTGTAAAGTAAGAGATTTCTGTTAGAATGATGTTGCTGTCTGTACACCTGAGAAACACACCATAACTTACTTGCTCCCGTGTTTTGAGTCTAAAGGATTCAATATTTGCAGAATTATCTTCCAATATCTATCAGAGAAGAAGGGGTTGACTTACACTCCAAAACATCTGAAGGCAGGACAAGAAGTAATGGATGGAAGATTATGAAAGAGGGATGCAACCTAGAATTAAGGAAACACTTCCCAACAGTGAGAATAATAGATCAGTGGAATGGCTTGCCTCCAGATGTCATGGGTGCTACATTGCTGGAAGATTTCAATAAGAGATTTTTGAAAACTTTTGATATAGGCTCTCCTACTCAAGCAGTGGGTTGGACTAGAAGACCCTCAAGGTCCCTTCCAACTCTATTATTCTGTATTCTAAATATATTGCATGTGATTGCAATAGGCCAATAGGCCTACTAATAGAGCTGACGTTCTACTGAGTGAGGGATTATACAAATTGTCTAGAGAAATATAATGCTGGAATTATATTGAATATCAAATAAAATAAAGTATATAACTGGATAATTCCTCAATTTTCTTGTTGAAGTATTTTAAATACTTAAAATATTTAAGTATTTTAAACTTTGGATAGCTCTGTTCAGTTGTAGTAGAAGGAAATTTTCTGAAATATTCACAATAGCTTCAATTATGCAGAAAATTTGGCATGGCAGCTCATTTATTTGTGTGTAGTATTTGTGGATTTTCTATGCATGTATACATTTCTACGCATGCATACAGTCTGATTTGCACTTTGTACCAAATATATACTCAGTCAAATTACAACAGTATTATACAGGTGCATTTTTCATTGAAGCTCAGGTATATTTGCCATATTTTGGAATATATAGATTAGGCTACCTGAGGTATCGTAAGGCAAAATTATGAATTTTTACTTACAATAATATTGAATTCTTTTTCTTTCACCCATCCCCAACTCTTTACAGGATGCATTACAGATTACAGGGTAAGTACTCTTTTCCCTGTAAGAATAATATTCTATATTCTACAATTGCCAAGATAAAAGGAAATGGCTGGATACAATCAAAACTTTGCTCTTCAGGTATTGAAAAGACTAGAGAAAAGATGCCTGAGACAAGAACACAGTTGTGGAAGGATACATTTTGCCTGGGTTCTCTATATCCTGCCTGTTGTTTTGTGTCCTACACAATTTCAGCTTGACAGAGCATCTGCTTTTTCAGATTCTTCATTCTTCCTTATTATTCTAATTTTATTTATTAAGAAGTCTGACAATGTTTAATCTATAGCTCTTTATGACAATTCTATTCTGAATAAGAAATCATTTGTGTTTTATTCTCCAGCACTGGCAGATTCCTTTAGGTAGAAGATTCCGTTCTTTGAAAATGTGGTTTGTGTTCCGAATGTATGGTGTGAGTGGATTACAAGAATACATCCGCAAGGTGAAGATATTTTGTTTTACTAATAAAAGAAATGGGGCAGGAAGAAAATTGTATTTAGTTTACAGATTATCTAAAATTAATTTAATACAGACTCCAAATGTAATATGTTCATCAAAACCAGTTATATGTTGATATTTATAATTTCTGAATTTTGAGATGCAGTTTTAAGATGCATACGAAGATGCGATTTTTGTGGAAAAATACAGATAGTTTTCAACTTACAATCAGTTGCCTGAAAGTTATGACAGACTCTGGAAAGCTATTTATGACTTGGTCCTAAAGTTACAGCTGCTACAGTGTACCCATGTTCATTTGTCCTTATGACTGAAAACAGGGATGCTGCACACCCCCACCCCCACCTATCTTCCCCACTACATTGTATTCTTGCAAGCAGTGGTAGGCTCCTCTCGGTTCACACTGGTTTGCCTGAACCATATGTTAATTTTTTTGACAAGTTTGGAGAACCGGTTGTTGGAAGAAATATTTTCCCACTTTACAGGACTAATCCTGCAAGGAACACAGGAAGGAAAGATTCTAGTGTGGTTGTATTTCTAGCTTAATCCTTATCTTAATTGCTGCTCCTGCTGTTTTAAGTGTGCCTCTGGGTTAAGCTTTGTTATATTGTAACAGCCTTAATAGTTCTTGGCAGTAAGCCCAGACTTTCTGTTTGTAGCTGACCTTTTCCAGAGCTTCTCTGGAGTCTTCTCCCCTGGAGTTTTTTGTGGTACTTTTATTCCTAGGGCTTGAACAGCTATTTACAGAAGAGTTGGCATAACCATAGAAGAAATGGCTGAGAGGCAGGATGCAAGCTTGGCATTCTCTCTGATTTTTTTACTGCCTTTCTGAGGGCATGTGATTTTTCCTTGAATCTGGATGATTACCTTAGGATATCCTGTGAGGTGAGTGAGACTAGCTGGTATCTTTAAGTGGTGCAAATGGCTCTAATGATGCTCCTTGGTGCTTTCTCAGTTCACTGAGCACAGGAGTCTCTTGTCTATGGGGATTCTTCAGTCAACCAGGTCATGGTTGTCCCAAAGGTGCTTTTTTCAAGAGGCAACTGGACTTTCTTGGTTTCCAGAAAGTCTAGTTGCCTCTTGAAAAAGCACCTTTGGGACAGGAGTCTCTTGCATTGCTTCAGAGTGGGCAAGGCACATAATTGCTCACTGATAATAAATGGATCCTCCTTCCAATTTTTTATAGTTTGCTCTCATATGGCATTTTAACATAGCACCAATTGTAGAAAGTTAGCACCCATCCCTCTCCTAGAAGAATGAAATATTTTGAGAAATATTAAAAAGGAAGAATATATTTCCCTGGATGAGAAATAGAGAATCATGTTTTCTTAGAGGGAGAAAGCAGCCCCCACATTCCTTAATTAGAGAAAAGAGCCTTAATTAAAAAGAGCCTCAGTGGCACAGTGGTTAGAGTGCAGTACTGCAAGCTAGTCCTTTTGCAGTTTGGCAGATCGAATCCCACCAGGCTCAAGGTTGACTCAGCCTTCCTTCCTTCCAAGGTGGGTAAAATCTGGACCCAAATTGTTGGGGGCAATATGCTGACTCTGTAAACTGCTTTGAGAGGGCTGTAAAGCACTATAAAGTGATATATAAATCTAAGTGCTATTGCTATTGCTATTAATAGCCCACAGCAGATGTCAGCACTTAAGAGATAAAAAGATAGATAGCTATATTCATGGGCAAAAATTCCCTGCAGCAAGGTCTGAACAAAGACAGAATGGGATTAGTCCTCACTCAAGATGTTAATTTGTTAATTTTCTCTTTAGCTTGGCAATTTGTATGCCCACCCACTTTCTGGAGAGCTTAAATGACCTCTCTGCTAAAGGGTTTCATTTTATGAGCAAGAGTTGGCTGTATTTTAACTGTATTAATTCCTCCATGTGCTCTGGCACCCTGCCTGATTTATAACTCTAGGGTTCAGGTATTGCTGAGAAAAAGGAAGGTATTCAGACAGAATGGTTTAGCTTTCCATGACAGCTATGACTCATTGATCTTCAGCGTGTTTCCCCCCATTTCTAAACTAATTATTGGTATTTAGGGCAAGTTTTTGCAAGCAAAGAAGTTTTTTACATTTTTGTACAGGTAAAATGTTGACTTACAACATTTCATTTAGTGACCATTCAAAGTTACAATGGCACTGAAAAATGTGACTTATGCCTGTTTTTCACACTTATGACTGTTGCAACATCCCCATGGTCAAGAGAGGCTGGGTGAGGCTCAGCGCCCCTCGACCTGAGTGACATCAAGTTGGCCATACTCACTCAGTCACATGACCACCCAGCCACGTCCACTCGGCCAGTCATTAGGGCAGAGAACTGGTTGTTAAAAAAGTTGAAACCCATCACTGCTTGCAAGCATTCCACCTCCCCTGCCAACAGTTCCACACTGTTTTTAGGACTGATATCCACCACCCAAGCTGCACATGCTCCTCTTCATTTAACTTTTGAAAAGTTTTGAAGCCTTCCATAGTGCTGGAATGGGCCACTTTGTTGTTTAGTGCATGGTACAATTCTGCAATCACATTGTATGGTCCAGGGACAAACCTGGGACCTGGACATTTCCAAAAGGCTGTGCAGACCATGTTAGCGAAACAGAAAGGATTGCTTTGTCCCTTGACTACATGATGCAATTCTTGAATCAGTCGCCATGTTACCAGTGGCTGAGTTGCTTTTTGGTAGTTATAAATATTGCTGCCTCTTCCAGAATCATGTCATATAGCTACAGGACAAAGCAGTCCATTCCAGCACTCTGGAAGGTTTTGGAGCTTTTTAGAAAGTAAGGCGGGCATTTAGTTTTGTGGAATGAAAATCTGGCCTAAGGCTTAGGGATATCTCCTTAGAGGAGGCCTATGGAGATCCAAGGGGCAGGAAGTGGAGGGTTATGAGGAGTGGGTGAGGCCTAGGGAAGGTCAGGAGAGAGTTAGGGTTAGATTTGGTTGACCTAACCCTAACTGTCCCCCATCCCTGAGGCATACTGTGCTTCACTTAATGATGTGCATGTTCATTTAACATTGGAGAAAGCAGGGATAGTAGAATCATTAAGTGAGATGCTTATTGACTATCATGACCTTAATGGGCAGACTCCATTGTGGTTGTACCTCTAGGATACTAATATGTACTGTATTCATGAATACAATATACAAATGTGTTGAAATATATTTCATATATATAAAATACATATACAATTATTTATAAAGGTATGGTCATCTTTAGTAAAATTGCTATATCCAGGTTTTATCCAAATGATTTCCCAAGCCCAGATCAAGGTTCTAAGTTTCCAAAGAGATAAAGCCCAATTATAGACTAGAAGAACTGCCATGGAAGTTATTCCAGGAATATACTATAGTCAGGTGAAATTTTAAATGCTGGAAGTCATGTTAGTATGTGCCAGTTTGGAATACAGAAAGGGACTATAAAAGGAGTACGATGTACTTCCATGTAGCAATAACAATAGCAATAGCATTTAGACATATACCGCTTCATAGTGCTTTACAGCCCTCTCTGAATGCTTTAGAATCAGCATATTGCCCCCAACAATCTGGGTCTTCATTTTATGGACCTTGGAAGGGTGGAAGGCTGAATCAACCTTGAGTTGATCAGGATCGAATTGCTGGAATTTAGTAGAATTAATCTGTAATACTGCATTCTAGCCACTATGCCACCACAGCTCATGTAGCCAGATTGCTCCAAGGAATCACCATGCAGTTATCATCCAAAACTCTTTGTCCAGTAGTTTTCCAACTCCTAGAGACAGGATTCATGCAGACTGGGCAGTCAAGGCAGCAGCTGAGAATTAGGAGAAGTGGGGTCAGTTTCTCCTTGTCAGATCTGTTTGCTGTTTCTTCTGGTTTCCCTTCTGCCTCATTGATTGATGATTTATACGCCAAAAACAGAACAGCATGGTTGAAGTATTGTTTATTCCCATAAGAATTATATAACTATTGCTTACACTTTTAATGAAACGTGTTTGTACTCTGTAACAAGTCGAGCTATGATACAGCCACCAAACCTCAGCCACAGAAATAAATCTTCCTGTTCTATGTAATACTTTAGTCCTAGATATAATAGCCCCAAATATATAGTATATAAAATGTTGGGCTTCGTTGTTTTAAGGTAGGAAAAGTAAATATGCCCTTCTGTAACTCACTGACACCATGCCTGTTGTCCATGATTTTTTGAAAAACTAGGAAGGGACGTTTAAAGTCTTGTTTTGGAAAGTTAAATGCATTTAAAAGTTACCTTGATTTGCTACTCCTTCCTTTTGTCAATTGTTCTGAACTGTTTTAACAATTCCCTTTTGGAGAAAAGATGAAGAAAAATTAGAACTGAAACACTCTGTTCTTTCCCTGTCTTCTTCTTCTTGCATCATTTCCACTCCTTATTTTTTCTTTTGTTATTAGAATACTAATATACAACTCTTTTTGGTTTTTTAAATATTTTTCATGCAGATGTAACCGACTTTTGGCAGACTTCCTTAGAAATTCTTGTTCCATTTTCTACAGTTGTCATTTTAATCTTTTTGGTTAGTTAAAAAGTTCCTGGGCATTTTACAGGTTTCCTAAGCTGCCCCTTCTTTTTCTTTCTCAGTGGAGTGGTATGCAAATATACTTTCAGTATCATATTTTGCAGACATTCTTAACCCTTCTAAAGTTCATATCCACCCAATATTTATATAGTTTATTCATAATTATAAAACACTAGTTGTTTTAAATAGCAGTTATATGCATGCATTTATTTCTATATGACCTTTCTATATGCTGTATATGACTTTGAATCTTCCTATATCTGTATAGTATTATAGATCTTCAGTTCTTATCCTGCGTTGCAGTCTAAATCTTAAAGGCTTTGGCGCCCTCCTCTGACTCTATTAAATACTGCTCATTATAATTGATTATACTAGATTTTAAAAATTCAAATAAAGCAATTACATGGTTTGAAAGAGGGGTCAAAGAGGCCATCTGTGTCAAAATTGAACAGCCCTTTTTCAATGGAGGTGGAGGGAATACGACATCATTTATCTCCAGTCTATAACACAGTCCTTTCAACAGTTCCAACAGTTCCACACCCATTTGCACTACTCAGGTGACCCTGACAACACAGATAATACTGGGCTTAAGACGGAGCCTTGAAATACCCCACTGCATACTTCCTTCCATGTAGAAGTAGTGGATACAATACAATAAGATTTAATTAGCATGATCTATTTTTGATAAACCCATGCTGGCTTCCACCTATCACTTTGTTAATTGCTAAGTGCTAAAAAAAAAATCCCTGATAGATTATCATTTCCAGAATTGTTCCAGATATTGATGTCAGGATGATTGGTCTGCAGTTTCCTGGATCTCCACCACACACACACACACACACACACACTTTGAAGACTGGAACCACATCAGCTCTTTTTCCTAGAGCTCATTATTCCACCCTGAACCAAATTAGCTGATGGGTCTAACATCCCTCCAGAAGAACTGCTTCGCCTAGTAATTCCACCATAAGGAATAGAAGACTGGGTTACTAGGCATCAGTCAAAAAAACAGTGAAGGGTGACTTTTGCTAGTTTGGTATATGTCTTTTCTGACATGGGAAGGCTTATACCTAATATGGGAAGGCTGCTTCTCTTGTTGTGGAAGATGTGTGATGCTTTCTTGGTCCTTTTAGTCTGTTCAGCTTAGATTACTGATGGGGGAAAGATGCTAGTCAGAATATTCTATGGAAGGCAATGGGAGAGTGGGTGATTTTATTTATGATGGTTAGTGAAGGCTCACTGTGTCCTTTGAATAATATCAAAAGAAATAAGTGTTTAACATTTGAGGAATAGGAGATGTCAGAAAGCAAGTTTTAACTCATTAACACATTAAGAGCAACTGCATTCTCTTCGCTGCTGATGTAAAGCTGTTCAATACCACAGACAATACTGCTACCCTTCAAAAAGATCTTGACTATGTATCAGAATGGCCAAACAAATGGCAACTTCAAATCTCAACAAATAAATGCTCTGTCTTACATATTGGCAAAAAAAATCAGAAAATAAAATACAAGCTGAATAGTCAAGACTTTGTTGATGATCCAAGCTCTGTAAAGGACCTCGGAATACTCACCTCTAATGATCTAAGTGCTAGAGCCCACTGCAACTACATAGCCAAAAAGGCATTAAGAGTTGTTAACCTAATCCTACGTAGCTTTTTCTCTGGCAATATCACACTACTAACCAGAGCATACAAAACATTTGCTAGACCAATACTCGAATACAGTTCATCAGTCTGGAACCCACATTACGTATCTGATATTAGCACAATTGAGAAAGTCCAGAAATATTTCACAAGAAGAGTTCTCCACTCCTCTACTCGTTGTAGAATACCTTATGCCACCAGACTTGAAATTCTAAAACTAGAAAACCTTGAATTACGCCGTCTTCGGTCTGATTTAAGCATGGTATATAAAATCATACATTGCAATGTCCTACCTGTCAATGAATACTTCAGCTTCAACCATAACAACACAAGAGCAAACAATAGATACAAATTCAAGGTTAATGGCACTAAACTTGATTGCAGGAAATACGACTTCAGCAACAGAGTGGTCAATGTCTGTAATACTCTATCTGACTCTGTGGTTTCTTCCCCAAACCCCAAAAACTTTAACTTTAAAATTCAAACTGGTGTAAAGCAGGAGTAAAATTCAGGTTCCCCCCATTCCTAGTGCCTGTATGTTAGCTACCAGACCAGAGTGTATAATGACAGAAGAACAGTAATGAGGAACGTTTCATTACAGCACAGATCACCTATGCCTGGGCTTCCACACATAACTTATGGATACATAAGAGAATCACCTTGTTTATTGGCATAGTGAGATGGAAACGTACTGGTATTTTGCCACTGTATTACCCCCAATGCACACCCCAACTAGGCTCTTACACAATCTTTGGCCAGATTCACCACTGAACTTCCTCCAATAGTACTCTAAGTGTCTGGTCTGTTGCTTCCTCTCTCCGAGTCTCTCAACAGGCAGTTATCTAAAAAGAATTTATAGTCTATTGGTTTCAGCAGCCAATTAAGTGTTGGATAGAATTGCCAGCCAGGGTAATTTGAATGTAGCCATTTATATAAAAAATATCAGCTAATCATTATTGACTGACAGATTTATTACTTATTAGTGTGGAGAAAAAAAATAGTTTAACTTACAAACAGTGTTGCCTCCAAAGTAGTTGAAAAAGTATGTGAGAAAAGTAAGAAAATACTATTTTCAAACTGGATAATTTGGGTCAGCTTCAGCTTGCTTATCCACAGAGTAGCAAAGCAACAGAAGCTTTGTTTCAGATGCAGGTTCCTCATAAATAGTGAGTCATCTTCAAGTTTCAGCAAGGTAGATCAGCCCTAAGAATTACATATGAACATAACCCAGTCAAATTATCTTATCAACGATACTGGCAGAACATAACCAAACTAATTCAAGAGTCAACATTTTGGAAAACACAAGATTTACAGGTAAAGCTTTACTATATTACTGCTTGTTTTCTTAGTGGTCAGGCAGGAAGCAGCAAGCGTGACATGAGGCTAAGGTAAGATAAGGTAAGGTAAAATAAGATAAGGTAAGGTAAGGTAAGCTGAAAACTTTCTCAGGGGTGCCTGGTCTTCGAACACTGGCACAAACAGGATCTGGGCCTCTGCCTCTGCCAAACCAGGCAGACCTGACATTCTGTCCCCCTTGACAGAGATGTTAGTCCTGCAAAGGAAAAATAGAAGAGGGGAGGGAGAGAAACATATAAAGTTTCTTAATTAGCAAACAGTTTAATGGGTTTATCTGGGTATCAGTCATGGAAATTTAAAGCTATTTGGAGGCCTTAATATGTTGGACCTTTCCCCATTAAAAGGATTTTTAACCCAGTGAGAACTGGGACTGTCAAAAACATTGTATTTCATTGAAACCTGAAATCCCTGCATCCTGAATTGCAACCATCCTCAGACCACATTACAATTGAGGGAGAACAGCACTTTGGAGTCACAGGCATTTTGGCCTCTCATATACACCAGGGAAAAACCCAGTATTTGATAGCTGAGAAAGACTTTCACCCCCTGAGAAACTGAATGGGTCCCAAAATATTAAGGCCTCCAAACTGTGTAAAAATTCCATGACCGATAGATACCCAGATAAACCCCAATGAACTGTTTGCTAACTAAGAAATTTTGTACGTCTCTGGCTGTATGATTGGGTATGGGGTCTTCAAAGAACTTACAAATTTCTGTCATGAAGTGGTCAAAGTTTCTCAGTACTGGGGCGTCACCATTGTGGAAGGTGTGGAAGGTGACTATCCATTCTGCTGTGATCCGCTCCAATGCCAAGGTCATGCACTGCACCTTAACATCTTTGGTGGCTATTTCTGATTCTATATCTTACATGTTATGTCCAAACCGGCTTCAGGAAGAAGCCCAAATGCTTGGGGGTCTCCACTGAATTTTACTCCCAGGGCTGCTGTCTTGCATCCTCTCTGCTATGCTGGTGCTGCCCTGTAGCTGGTGCAGGCTGGGCTGCGGACCAAGTGTTGGGGCATATGCTGCTGCTGGGAGGCTTGCGGCTGCAGCTATCGTGGCAGCAGAGGTGGTTGCTCCATCACTCACTGTGGCTGGAGTTGGCTGGTCAGCGGGATGTGTCACCTGGATTAGGGTCTCTATACCATGAGGTTTCCAAAAGTCCATTCAGGAACTTTATTGCTTGCTCCAGCATCCAGTCCTCACTCTCGAGTTAGCCTGTACTCAATTCTTCCTCCAATTCCTCCAGCTCCACTCGCATCTCTTGCTGGAGGCTACTGGCCCCCGCACATGGGTGAATGTCACTCCGATGGGTTTCTCTTCCCACTCTTCCATTTTTCCAATCTTGAGGGGCCATCAGAGCCACTCAGATCCAGCCCTTCAGGAGGGGCTTTTGAGGACGCCCCTCCCCAGGCTTCGATCTTTTCCTGGTTGCTTCCTTGAGCTGACATTGTTTTCATGGTCCCCATGGACCAGGGGTTGACCACAACTGCAGAGCTAACCTAATGTCATACCTGCCCAATCTGATCCCTTAGGAAAGAAAGATCCTCAACTACATTTGATTAAAGTAAAGGCTTCTTTTACTAAAGGTGTTGGCTGCAGTAAAGTCAAGCTCTGAGTTTTCCTGCACTCAAAAGATACAGAAAGGTTTGCCCATCCCTCTCCTGTGAGCGGTCTGTTTCCAGACAATCGGATCTCATCAAAATGCTTTGAGAACATCAAGATATTTTGGGGAATCTGCATATTTTCTCAGGGTACCTGGCTTTGGGATGCTGTCATTCCTCCTCCCTATTTCTCATTACATATACACACAGTTTTATTGCCCTTACATCTCCCCCACGCTTTTCTAGCCTTTGATTGCAGGATGGCTATGAGGCACCAGACTGAACCAGGCAGAACTGACAGGTTGATTGAGAACATACATACATACACACATATGTAAAACCTTTGGTGCATGGCAGATAAAAGAGTAGATGGGAAGGATGTTCTTTCCAATTCTGCAATTCGTGTTTATTTTTTGGATGAACACCAATTCCATAAGAGACATAACTTTTCTTTATTGTTTTAGCATGTTAGGATAGCACATGAATTTAAGGACTTGGTGCTACAAGATGATCGATTTGAAATTTGTGCTGATGTCATACTGGGATTGGTATGCTTCCGATTAAAGGTAAATGTGGAGAATTTTTCAGTTCCTACAACCCTTATTTTGTTTTAACACTTTGCTTATACAATAATTTATAGGAAATCAGAGTTCCTTACTGACAGCTAAAAATAAAGCAGATACTTTGATTGTCTGACTTATATTTTGATTTATAGGATAAATGTAATACAATTTAATTAATCAGTATTTATATTTAATCACTAATTGAATATTTGGCTTTCTCAGAACAGTGTAGAATGCTTCTTATCTTACATTTCTAAAAGCTTATTTTACTTCAAAGGCAAATGTATTAGCCTTTATGACACTCCTTTGCTTTTTCTTGAAATACCTTAAACATGCTTGGTGATCAGAGCTTTTCCAGATGGCTGATGCCAACTCTTAACTATGAAAAACTGCAGCATCTTCTTTAGATGAGTGAAATTGTTATCAGTCATTAGTGAGGCTTTTCTATATTTTCAGCACTGATTATGATAGTTTTTATAGAATGTTTCCAGTATTCTTAAAAAATATCATCAGCTCTCTCTTAATACCAATTTTGACAAGGAAGATCAAAAAAATATCCCTTAAACACAGTGACCCTTAACCACATTTTTTTTTTACATTTTGAGAGATAATAGTGTGTGATCATTAGCTTATCGCTTGAGTAGTGACACAATAAGATTTTATATGATTAAACAGGTGAATACAGTTTATAAAAAGCAAAGAAAATTAAGGAAATTAACCTTTCGACTGCCCTCATTATCAAGCAAAGCAGCTCCCCACCCCACCGGCTTGCTAGATGTCCTTCTTTTATGCAGTTTTCTATAAAATTCAAGACAATATACATATGCATGATGACATGTTGTAAAATAAAAAAATTAAAAAAAAACCCTCTATAAAAATATTTTGATGGTAAAGGTGAAATAAAACAATTAGATAGAAGAATGTGGAATAGATAGTATCACTACTAGAGAAATTTACAGTTGGCTAGCCAATAGTACTTAGTGGCTATTAGCCCTCAATGGAACTGTATTAATACCACAATCCTTTATTGAAAAGACATATATAAAAATGAAAAAAGAAATGCTAAATAAAATACAGGACTTTCTTACTGAAAAAAAAACAAAACCAAGAGAAAAAGACTAGCATTTACCTATTTGTTGCAACAAAGAATGCTAGAATGGCAGGACTATTTTATATTTTGCCTTTTGACATTGTCTAGAAATGTGTGAGATATTAAGCATTTCTTACTTTGATGTCCAATTTTTGGCATTCTATAAATTTTCTAGGCATTCTATAAAATGCCTAATTTCACACATTGACAATAACATCTATATAAAATCGAGTAAATATGTAATTCATTGAGCAATGACACTGCAATTGAAAAAAAAACCAAAGGCAATTGAAGCTAAAATTTAATATATATTACTATTTGTAGAATATAAAAGTAAGCATGTTGCAGTGGTTTTCATTGCTGATGTTATAATTTAGACTTACCTTTCACATTTCTACTAAGAACCAAGTATGGCTTATATACTATTCTTTCCACCAGTTTTTCACCAGGAGCAATCCTATGAAATGGGATGATATAAAAACAGTGCCTTGTCTGTTGGATCTGAGTCTTCTTATATCTTAGTTTATTCAGCATTATACCACAGAGTCTTTCTTATTTAGTAGCGGAGATTTAAATTTGTAATTATTGAATAAAACTATATTTATGTGTGCTTGAAAGAAGCAAGTTTCCCTGCAAAATTCAATGTCTGCTATTGTGTGTGTGTGTGTGTGTGTGTGTGTGTGTGTGTGTGTGTGTGTGT